GGTATATTACCACTTCCTGATGCTATATACATTATAGTGTGGAGCTTAGTGATTTCTTTTGGTAAGCTGAGCATTCTCTATTGTAATGGACTCTTCATTTTGGTGACCTAATGATCATTTGGTGGAATGTGCACAATCTGAAAATAATTGTCGTATGATAATTCTGTCCGAATTTGATGTTCTTTTTAGACATTGAAGAATTCCTGGCTTCCCCTAAAGTAGTTCTGTATCTCTCTGCTCGATTGATAACATAATCACATGACATGCTGACGTTCATCGGGAAATGAACGAGTTAGCTTGGTGGTGTTCATCTAGGCGAGGTCACTCGCTACTGTCAATATTGTATGATGACCAATACAGTTATTACATTCCCTCTTGTCTTTCAAGAAACATTGAGAAAGTATTGGATGTAGTGAAGGTGACAGATGTTACATTTAAACACATTTGTAGCATCTCCATGATCACCCACTATAATAGTATTGCATGTCTTCATTTCAGCCAACTCTCTCCGTTACGCCTAAGCAAGCTCAAGAGCTCCGACGTAAACAAGAATTTGATGAACTGTACAAATTAGAGGGCAAAGATATAGTGTATAAAGTGTCAAACCAACAGTCAACGTACGATGAGCAACGTTTGAGCAGAGGCGGTCAGCGTATTGTGTTCAGCTTTTCTCATGACTCACTCCGCCTTGCTATTATTCTGTCTGAGTTGATAAACCAGGCATCACCAGACACAAACTGCACTTTCATCAGTGAGTATAACAAAGATAGACTCCACTTGTTGGACCAGTCCCAGCTTGTGGTGATCATAGTATCTGACGGCTATTCCCAATCAGCTCAGCTCCTTGAGGAGCTCCATCTTAGCCTCTGCCGACAGCGGAGAGAAAAGCCCAGGAGAATGATGTACCTGATCGAGGGATTACACCTCAGGGCCAAACCCCAGTATCTTCATCTTCTGGACTACAAAGTCAGCATCACTGACAAACTGTGGACTGCACTGACACCACCGAGGAAGAAATCATTCAAAGACACTGCTCCTGTCAATGAGTGTTTCACAACATCAAGAGGTGGCATGGGAGGAACATACAACTGCTCTCTGGCAGAACGCCTGGCTCTCAGCAAGGCGGCGCTAGAAATACTTGATATTGTCAACAATAGGTGAGTGAGTTATAGCAGCTTTGTGAAGGCACCAATATTTGGCTTCGTACTTTGTAGGAAATAAATTTATTAATTAAAACAATAAATTTGATGTAAGTACCTTGTGTAGCTTGTGTTATTTATCTACGAAAATTCAGGGTAGGTCTGTCCAAACAGGTGTAACCAGAAATATCTTGATTCTCAGTCAACTCCATCACCTACTTTTGTATACAGTCAAGACTCATTAATCAGACATGGTTGGTTGCATATGATTATGTCGGATTAACGAATATGTCGGATTAACGAGTATGTCGGATAAACGAAATTAAGTGGTGTCAATATATTTCCTCTGATGCCAACTTTACATGGTACAGAACTTGTGACAGCTGAATCTTACAAAAACCTCCAACTGTAAATGGAGCACAAATAGCACTGTGTTTGTATACCCTCTCTACCTCAGGCAGTAAGAATATACAGATGTGTTTCTCCTCCTCCAGATCAGTGTCGGGAAGCTGCATGAACATTCTCAACACAGCCAGCCTCATCACAGAGGTCGGGGACAGCAAGGTGCCACTCAGACAAGTTCGCCAAACAGAAAGTGTCATTTATACAGTATTTATTCCAGAAAATTTACCAAATGTACATTTATATGAAATTCAAATGATTTGCAAACAAGCTAAAAAGCCTATGTTAGTGCCTTGCCTCCTTTCAAAATGTAAATTCTTTGTTTCAGGAATATAAACCTTATTTTCCTAAGACTGTTTGATGGTTATCATTCTTATTTACCCACTAATTTATGTGATTAACGAATCACTTGGAGGTGGAATAGTTCATGTTGTGAGGGGGTGTCAGCTATTTGGATGAAATTGTTCGTGGGAAATAATACATCTTACTGGGAGGTAAGCATGAAGTGATACAGGTTTCAGATGATATAATATGTGGGCTAGTCTGGGATTTTCACTTATAAGAAGAGGAGCAAGATAGCTGAACAACTGCATAGAAGCCCTGACCAGTGCAACATAAATGGTTGAAGATTTGGCTTTGTTTTGTTAAACATTGTTAATATAACCTGTATGTAATCTTTGACCTGTCTTTGAAATGTATGTGAAAAATTGACCAACAACATTGTCTATTTCTGATTTCAGTGTTCATTGCCAATACATATGGATGACCTTGACCTATGAATGTAGGACTTACAACAGGGGAGGTAACTACTGATCAAGTTGGAGACAAGCCCATGCCAGTGATCGACAGCTACAAACTCTGCTTAAATGAAGAAATTTCTCAACTGAAGGATACTCTCTCAAGAACACTCTTGTATTAATATGTGTTTGAAAATGTTACATCAAAGTCATGATTTTTTGTAATTCATTATCACATTCATACTGATCAAAGAGCCGGATCACTGAGCCTATGTTTTTCATGATGTGCCATATTTGTAATATGGGCTTGATGGTGCTGAATTTTCAAATATTTTTATATCCAATTTTTAACTTTTTTAGGACATTACAAACTGCCCTTTTGCTACTGGTAATCTTTGGAAGAATTGGGACTTCGAGAGGGAGCTGTGTTTTGCTTACTTTGAAAAGTAGATCCCAACATGACCCATTGTAGATGTTAACCTTTGATACATGTGGTGCTTACCTACCATGAGGTGAGGTGAAATGGGGGTTTAATGTCGCGTCAAAGATTATTGCAGTTATAAAGCTGTGTGTGTGTGTGTGTGTGTGTGTGTGTGTGTGTGTGTGTGTGTGTGTGTGTGTGTGTGTGTGTGTGCTTGTACTAGTCGGGACTGATGGTGATTTATAGTGCTAACCAACTGAGGTACCATGCCGCAGTTTAACATGAATACCCCACAAACACACAGTTTACCGACTCCGAGCCGACTAGTCCTTGTTTAAGCCCCTCAATGCCAAGCGCCAGACAGGGTAACAACCAATACCATCTTTAAACATCTTTTGGTATGACGCGGCCGCGGATCAAACCCCGGACCTTCCTCTCACCGGACAGACGCGCACTAGACCATGGTGGCGGTCACTTACCAAGGACATCACAAGATGAGAACAATTTACTGCAGCAGTGAGTTATACATAACCCAGGAGATCATATCCCAGTATTACCTTTTTTTGAAGTTGAGCTTGACTTTTGTCAGCATGATATATTGATCAGTTGATGCTTGATAAGAAAGTTAAAGGACTAGGTAGGATGAGGGACTATTTTCGTAACAATATTTCAAAGTTTTCTGCAACTTGAAATTATGCCAAAAATGGCCCTTTTCCTTCCTCATTCTTTGTAGAAGTGCACTGGGCCACAAAATGAATTGGGGCTACAGGTTAACTTCCTGTACAGCACAAACATTGTGAGGATGAACTGAATGGATAATATATGGTACCGTTGTTTCCTGTCTATGTCTTTTGTAGGCAGGTTTATTTTGGACTGTGCATGTATATATTACATGTATATGTAAATATATGTTTATTTAAATGTTGTTCTAGCTGTGATCTGATGAAAGCTGATTTCCTTATTGAGCTTTCGTTGAATTTGTCAGGCAGAAGAATTGTTTTTTCTTTGTTGTTTAGAGCCACACTTAGCAATATTCCAGCTATGATGGCGTCCTGTTAGTAATCGAGTCTGGACCAGACAGTCATCTTTAAAAACACTTGTTTTTAGAAAAACTCATTGACATGACAATTCATACTTGATATATGTATTAATAAATGGTAACAATTGATTTGTGTGTTTTTTTGTTTTGAAGTAAAAGTATGAACTTTCAAGGTATTATTCTAGTGCATCCTTGATTATCCAGTGTGTTGTGTCTCTATTCACCATGGCTTGAGTGGCAAAATGCTATAACAGCTTTCCAATCACATTACTGTTAAAACAAGCCATGACTTCACTTGTATTTGACTTGTCTTGTTGAAAGCCATCCCAAATATAACTGGTAACTTCCTGGCAGCAAAAAGAATTTGATACTACATCCTTATACTTTTAGAAAACAGTTTTCCAGCTAAAATAACACACATTAAAGTCTATGGATTTGATTAAATGTATTGAGGACTCAGAAGTAAGATGCCTCAATTTTGAATGCAGGTCCATGCCAAACTCTTTCAGAAGTTCTTTTGAAAGGTTTTTGATTTCAAGCTCATGAGTGAGACGTCACATCCGAAACTAGGCTTTGATGACAAATGGGCCCAGGGTATTTATGATAGAATGGAGATATACATTGGAAATTCGAGAATGATTCTGGTGAGGTTTTGCTCATTTCATGTGGGAGTTCTTCTTTTCCATGTGAACTAAAATCATCTCTATAGAGCAACACTGTCAGCATTTTCGATAAAGGTTTGTGTTAACACATTGAAAGGGTTTTGAACCAAAGAACTTTGATGGGGAATGGATGCCCAAATCATTGGTGTAGCTCACTACCTCAGAAAATGATTTATTCCACTACATGTGTCAGGAACAGTAACACGTCAGAATATGCAAGATATTTTCATGTTCGAGTGTAGTGTAAGAAGTAATCAACTGGAAATGCTACACAAGTTTTTTTACATGAAGAATTATACCAATAAAATATGCAGTATGAGGCCAATTTAGGTAAAAAATAAATCCTGGTCCTCCAAGAATATGCAAGCCAACTACTACATGACATGTGTAAGCATAGACTAATTATTTTCAATAACAGCAAGTGCTTTCCTATTTCTGCTGGTCAAGGGTCCATAGCAGATGCAGCAAATCGCCACCAAGTCAAGTACTGAACACAAAGCAAATGCTCAATGTCACTGTTTAATATATTCGACATCCTCAAATACCATGTATGTTGTTAAAATTCCACGTCCCAACTCTAAGCATCACACGATACAAAAGTTTCATGAAGCAAACAATTTTTTATTACAATGGTCGTGATAAGTGAGATAAATACAATGTCATTTATTTGTAGAACTCATGCTCTGTTTCGTCCTTCTTGATGTTATTCTTGTAGCCCTTCTCAAAGTCCTTGGCCAGAACAACGTACCTGTTCTCTCGCACTGCCTGCATACCAGCCTGGAGTAGGAGAAACAAAACTCTGTTACCAAACCAATGCTACTGTTGCTAGCTTGAGGTAGACAAAGTGCTCTTTCTGCTGAGCTTACTGGATGATGAATGTCACACCATTTTAGAAGCTCTTCTGTTCTTAAGTCAGGACGGGATGAATACCTTCACTTTCACCTTTTAATTTTGGTCAAAAAGAGTAACCGAGGGAGTAGGGTTTTACCCCACTTTTAGCAATATTCCAGCATCATCGTGGAAGGAACACTAGAAAATGCATTTTTAGAGTAAAGATATCATTTACACTTATCCTGACTCATACACATGAGTATGAGTATGAGTCAGGATAAGATAAAATTGGGCTTCACACATTGTACCCATGTGGGGAATTTAACATGTGTCTTCGTTGTGACGAGTGAACGCTTTAACAACTAGGCTACCACACCGCCCCTGGTCAATAAGAAGATAACAAAGAAAAGATGCTGACTTTTGATCAGTTGTTTGTTTGTTTGTGTTTAAAGCAACATTCAGCAATATTCCATCTATATGACAGCGGTCTGTAAATAATCAAGTCTGGACCAGACAATCCAGTGAATGACAGTATCAATCTACACAATTGAGATATGATGAGATGCATCAACCAAGTCAGAGAGCCTGACTACCTGATCATGTAAGTTACCTTTTACAACAACCATAGTTGCCTCTTACGACAAGCATGGGTCGCTGAAGACCTATTCTCTACCCAGATCTTCATGGGTCGATAACATGGGTAGTATTCATTACGAGGACACATCATTAGTCCGGTCACACATTGTAATTGTCACTTTAGCCAGCTCTTACCATGCTTACATCATGGACACAGGATACCTATTCTGCCCTGGAATCTCCACTAACTCTGGGAAACAGGGACAAAACAGTGAATCCCACACTGCCCTGGCAGTTGTTACATACCTCCTGGCATATGGCATTGATGTCTGCCCCACTGATCTTGTCGGGGCGAGCAACATAGTCCTCCAGGTCGACCTCTTCACTCAGATTCATCTTGCTGGTAATGGTGGAGAATACAAGACGCTTCTGTCGCCTGTCGGGCAGGGGGAACTCGATCTTCCTGTCAAGCCGTCCAGGACGGAGGAGGGCAGGGTCAAGAGTATCTGCTCTGTTTGTTGCCATGATAACCTGTAACACATTTGCACAAATGCAGATGTATTACAAGTTCCTTGTCCAAAAGGCATATTAAAACTTTAGTGAGCAACTTGATTTCTAAGTATGTCTGTGCCTGTAGTACGTAATAGAAAACTTGTCATCCTAATATCTACATATATGCCAACTATGCTATGCTAGCTTTTGTTGTTTTTGTTTAATGTATTTGTCAAAACTACTTTGTTCAACATGTGCAAAGATTAATTGACATGCACATTGATCATGACAACTGAACAAACTGGATGACAACTAACTTACCTTGACATTGACAGTCTGGTCAAAACCATCCATTTGATTCAATAACTCTAGCAAGATTCTCTGGACCTCTCTGTCAGCTGCAAGACAAATAAATTTCTATTCCAATGAAAAAAACCCAGAAACTTCTAAATATTTGTGACTATGTTGTAGGTGAGGTGGGGTATAACGTCGCATCCAAGATTATTGCACTTACATAGTGACGTGCGTGTCTGGACTAGAGCTGATTTTATAGTGCTAGTCCACTTAGATACCAAGCCGCTGTTTAACATGAATACCTCACTCAGACACAGTATACTGACTCTGAGCCCCTTAATACCTAGTGCCAGTCAAGGTAACAAGTACAATCTGTTAACATGTTTTGTTATGACGCGATTGGGGATCAAACCCAGGACCTTCCACTCTCCTGGCAGACACTCTACCGCTAGACAACAGAGGTGGTCTCTATGTTGTAGAATAAGATTGTGATTCTTTTTATGATGTTGTGTGGACCCACCTCCTGTTTGAGCATCAAATCGTTTTGTGGCTATGGCGTCAATTTCATCTATAAATATGATGGCTGGGGCATTTTCTTTGGCTAGCCTAAACACATCTCGCACCATCCTTGGTCCCTCTCCAAGATACTTCTGGACAAACTCAGATCCCACCACACGAATAAATGCAGCTGAAACATAATTATTAATAGTCACACATTCATACACATAGATACATAACAACATGCAGCATCAGCTTATAGATGTTAAATTTGGCACCATCAAATCTACAGGCAACATAGAAAACACAGTATGGTTATCTCTCTTCTATGATGACCTTACACACGCCACAGTTGGAGATAAAGAAACCCCAAATTTCAATCTCTCTTGTCCTTGAAATACAGTTTTAGTCAACTTGTTTATTTCAAAATGCCTACTAACAATGATCAAGAAAGAAGTACTTTTCTATTAATATTTGCCTCTGCGGTGATGCAGCTGTCAAAAGCAGCTGTTTCAACCTGAGGTGGTCATAGTGAGAGTTAAGACCTCTGATTGACCAATCAGAATCAATATTTTGAAATGTCACGGTAGACTCTTTAAGCTTAACATGATATACCTTAACATGGTAATGGGTTGAAAGCTAACATTAGCAAAAAAATGCACTCAAAGCAAAATTCAACTCTTCCTACTCATAAACTGTTGGCTCCAATGTCAGACTGTTATGACAAGAACACTGGAAGCAGGGATTGTTTGGATAACACACCATATACTTCATCGAAAAACAACCCAAGAGAATAAAAGAAACAAGTACAGCACAAGTTACTTAATCTATAGAAGGGCCTTATCTGACCTGCAATGTGTAACTGAGGTGACTGTGAACAAACCTGTTGTGTGATGTGCCACTGCCTTGGCTAACATGGTTTTGCCGCAGCCTGGGGGTCCAAACATGAGCACCCCTCTAGGTGGGTCTATACCAATCTGCTTGTAGAGCTCGAAGTGGGTGAGTGGTAGCTCCACAGCTTCTCTCACCTCCTGCTTCTGGACATCCATGCCTCCGATATCCCCATACTTCACATCCGGCTTCTCATCTACAGGCACATTGGAAAATGAAATCATATTAAGCAAACTGTTACATATGGCCATGAATATCATCATATGCTAAAGTTAACAAACTTCACACATTCACACATCAAATGTTACTTAGCATGCTTAGAACTGTCTCTTCATGCTCATGAGTTTCCTGCTGGTAGTTTGAATGATAGGGTCAAATACTTGGGATGTCATGATTCATCATGTTCACCAATACATTGAGAATATTCTCAGACAATATGATACATGATACACACTTACCTGTATGATTATATTTTAATACCATATCATTGCATACATGGAACATTTAAAACATAATGACGATTGCTGAAATACAATAACAAAAGTGCATATTTAAGTGCATATTGTTTGGGCAACTTCTGCTATTTGAACCAATCAGCAATCAGTTTGAAATAGTTTTATATGATGATATTCAGCCACATTTAATATTTGGGACTGGTTAAGTGGTGTGGGACACACTCGTTACAAGCGATATCATTGGCTGATAATTTTTATGCTATCATATCAACTGAACTTCTGTCAATATCAGCACGAATTCTCAAAGCTATCACAATGCCTTACTGAAGATTGTATTTTATTTAACGGGTAAATACAAATCCAGTGTATGGAAAGACTTGTTTCCAATATACATGTACTATGAGGAAGGGGGAATTACAAAAGTTTGTGGGGAAAAGACTGTGTGTACATTATGCAACACATTCTTATTCGGGAAATGACAAACATACATCATGTACGTGAAAAACAAGAGTTATCAGAAAATTACCCCCAGCCCCAACTTTGAAAAAAGCACCACTTCATGTACCAAGTTTCGACGAAAAATCTTTCACCTTTTTCAAGTTGTGCTCTGGAAACGATATATGGATAGACAGATGGGCGGGCAGACTGACAGACACACCAGATGATGACTATATCCACACACCCCCACAGCCCCACCCCCTAAGCTCTGCACTCTACTGCATACAGTGAAACCATGCTAATATAGAGAGTATAATTCTCATTAAAATCGTTGGGATTGACAAATCATGTTGGAAAGCAGGGTTTCATTTTACCGGGTAACACAAGGCTAGGTCATCACCAGTCTCTTTTGAGTCTACTTGCCTGAACATGGCCATAAGCATCATTTTCTGTAGATTTTATTTTTAATGTTATTATTAGCATGATTAGACTATTACTAGCCGAGCTCATTGGACGAGCTTACACAACCTAATAAAATTCTACTAGATGCAGGCTTTAGACCACTGTTGCAGACTCTAACAATGTCGTAAAGTAACATCATACATCTTAATGCAAAGGTTGTAGCGATGTTCCAGACATGACAAGTTGAGTACTCACCAGCTTGTAACATTGTGATGCTAGAGTCAGCCTCCGGGGGAAGAACATCCACCAGGGCATTGCTGTGTTTGTGCAGAGCCACACTGGCTGACGGCTTCAGTAGTTCTCGGTCAATGGTGGACAATATCCGCACATAATAGTTGGACCCTGATAATTAATGTAATTAGGAATAATCAGACTTGAAATTTTCCAATAAATTGTACATTTATATACTTATCCACCTGACACTATGCATCTCTTTGATCGTATGTGGAAAAGTCTCCAGATTAAAAACAACAACAATTCACCCCAACACATCTCACCTCACAATGGTCACCACCCAAACAAATGGGTAATGCACTGGAACCTGTGCATAACAGCCTACACGATCCGATCTCTTAGTTACCCCTGGTTCATCATTCTCTTTCGTCAGATCTAACAGGCTAGAGGAACTGGTTCAAAACAGGAAATAAATATACATTTAAAACACCACATAGTGTTGAAAACAACAATAACCTGTCAGCGGGCAAACACATCAAAACTGGTGAAATGATCCTGAAACGGTAGATGGACATAAGAGCATGAGATCGGGTATAACGGGTATAACATGAGGAACATGTTTTCACGTTTGACATCGTTACATGAACGACCACATAGCTGTATAGAACGAGCCATATAGCATGCTACTTATATCAATCCGTAATTGGTCACCAGACAATCGATTGTACTACACTGGACGCAACCATGGACAATTGAGTGCGCCTACTCGGCATCTCTTTTAACATTTCGTCAATGCTATCAATCACGCCTGAGGGATGAAGCATGCCAAGACGAGAAGACGAACGATCAACAATATCCATAACAGGTTCTCTGAGCTAGTAGCAGACAACACAAATACACAAGGCAAAGGTGAGAGGAATAAAGGGTCAGGACACTGTAAAAAAAACCATGCCTTCCGGCGACTTTGATGTTGAAGACCCAAGTCTCTACAGATGAGCAAATCTACCCTCTGATTGGGTAGACAGCCAAGTAGATTAGGAATGTAACAGATGATCTGGCTGTGCAGGAAGCTGTTACTTTGCCATAAAATCCCAGCGAAAAACCTTCACATTATCACATCATTAAACAGGACTTTGTTAACATCCAGGGCATGGACTTTGCTAACACGTGCAGCAGTTGCAAGGGCCAGTTAAAAAAACTGTCTTGAAAGTGATCAACTCAAACTCTTTGTCATCAAGCGGTTCATATTCGGGCGAAGTCAAATGACGAAGGATGGCGTTAAGATGCCAGGTGGGAGGATGGAAACGGGAGGACTGTTCCTCCAACTAGTATGACCGGATGAGAGACTGATGTTCAGCAATGGTAGAAACTTTCAATCCCTTGGTAGTAGCAGTGATGGAGATCTTAAGTAATGGATGAAATTGGCAATCTGCTGTAGAGAAGAAGTGGTGGGAGTGGAAATGTCATGAGCACGACAATAGGCCTCAAAGCCTTCCACTTGTGATCAGGCCTTTGGCAGAAGTGTGTTGAGTCTCCGTAATTGTCTAAGCTACCCTCCTTTGGCAACAAAGGACCTCTGTAAATGTGCCAAGCACAAAGATGGAGTGTTGTGAATGAGGGGTGGAGCAACTGGGAATGAGGCTGCAGAAGAAGATTGTCTCTGAGTTGAAGACAGTAGAACCACTTTCTGAAGAACCCGAGGTAGAACTCCGGTCAGGGGAAAGGCATTAGTGTTGAGGCCTACCCGTGAGATCGCCAGTGCCTCGTGACCCCATGCTTGCAGATCTGGTATGAGAGACACGAACGGTTGATGAGCAGGCAAGCTGGTATTAACAGGCTTTAAAATGGTCATCCCATTGGCAATGTTGGAGCACTCCTTGTCGTAAGACTTCATGTATGCAGTCTGCAAAAAGACTCCTTGATGAGCAGGCAAGCTGGTATAAACAGGCTTTAAAATGGTCATCCCATTGGCAATGTTGGAGCACTCCTTGATGTAAGACAAGGACTGAACCCATGTGATGGGAGATGAGGTCGATGATAGCCATGATCTTGTCCTGGATCAAGAGGGCCAAACCTCGATAAAGGCCTCATCTTGTGCTTTATGAGACAGCTGAGTCAAAAGGGCCTGTGTTGCTGAGAGGATGATAGACATCAGAGGGAGCATCTGCCTAATTGTTGAATCAAGATGAGCCAAATCATGATCATAAGTCGAGAAGTCAAGGAGTGTTTAGGGCAAAGGGTCAAGAGATCGCTTTCTAGTACAGGAGCTGCAACAGTCTGTGACATGCCATGGGTGCCAGAATCCTCCTAGGTGAAAAGTGAGGACTTGATACCATTGCGCAACCAAAAAAAGGATGCAAAGGCCTTGTCATGATTGGTAGAAATATCCTGCAACACAGGCCTGTTGCAGAGCGTGAAGTAAAGTCAGCCGAGGCAAACTACAAAACACAATAAATGACCCTCTGCCGAAGTAAAACAATGAAGCTGAAGCTGGTCTGCAATCCAGTGAGGGGTTGGCAGGTTCAAAGCTCTCGAAGAGGAAGCAGGAAAGGTTTGATGGCCCATAGCTTCATCAGCTGGTGCATGATCCACAGCCCGAGGAACTGGAACAACTGTGCCTGGAGGAACGGACTGTGGGGCAGAACAGGAGTCGAAATGTCCATACCGAGAGTCGCCGAAAGTTCAGAAGGTTGTTGGAGAGTCGTGGTTACCGCTCGTAGGAACGATTGGAGGTTCGGTGCTGGGTCAGTAGCCCGATCCCTATGGTCCTAAGAGGAAGGGAGCAGCTGTGCAGGTGGAGGGAGCGTCACAGTTGGGGCTGGTGCTGAAGAGAAAAGTGGAACATGAACCGAAAGCAAAAGTCAATCCTTGGAACGTTGATTGTGGGAGCGCCAAATTTGAGATCGATCAACTGGATGTTGTTTTTGAGAAAGTCGATCCTGAACGTACTGATCATGAGAATGTCAATGCCTAACCAGTCGAACCCAAATGTTGCCCTACATGAGCAGTAGTTAGAGTTGCGATCAGATGACTGATCATCCTCGGAGCATCTGTGTGTGGATGAGGAGCGGGACAGATCTGTATTAGAAGACAAACTTTGACAGTCAGTAAAAGTGGAGTCTATGGTAGTCACAGTCGTCGAAGGATCGAGATTGACTTTAAGTGAAGAGGAGCAATCATCAGCATCAGCGCCATAGGAGTAGAATCAGAGGGAAGTGATTATCTGTGGAAGCCTCGGTTGCCGAGGACCGAGATGTATCAGCAACATCATTCCAACTTCGATTTGGAAGACAATGCATTGGGTTTCGTTGTGTCCTTTGATATCTTTTCTGAATCCTGCTATTAAGGTAGGCGGTTCATTTCTCGGAGATGACACTTGTTCACAGTGTGGTGATGAGAATGAGAATGATGTGGCAAGGGTAAGCTTATGGTCAGATTGTGTAGGTCGCTATGCATGGGATTACAGTACATGACCAGTTTGTTTGGGCAGTGACCATAGCGATAATGGGATGTGTTCGGGTGAATCGTTTTTTAGAAGCTGCAAACTTTGTTCAAGCAGGCTTCCACATACGATCGAAGAAGGAAGGAGATATGCATAGTGTGAAATAGGATTAGTTTAAAAATGTACATAATGCTATCACATTATCAAAAGATAATACAAAAAATCAGTATTTTTCCATTCTGTCACTTGCCAATACCATGACTACCATTGTCTACACTCCATAATAAACCTAAGAACATGATACAATTACATAACTTTGGTAAATATGATAAATCCATTATTGGTTTTGTTTAATAAGTGAACCAGAGTTACCTCCCTTACTCTACAGTGTCATGCAAACTTGTCATTCTTTTCTGATAATCTGAAACCAAACTTTCTTACAAACAAGTAAACATTCTCCCTTTTCAGGTTGTTTCGTATACCGTATATCGCTGTGTATAAGGCGACCCCACGTATAAGACGACCCCCCTGTACATGCCTTCAAAATCAATCCCAAATCCTATACTCTGTGTATAAGGCGACCTGGAATGAAGCACATCACAAGTGCGCACACAAACCTTATATATGCAATAAAAATATGTTTAGCTTGCGTTGTTTTTTCTATGATGATTGGTCGCGTGTGTGACTCCAGCACATGTTGCCATTTTGTGTTTACACGGTATGACACCAAATTGGTGCCCGTAAAATAAATTTCATTTATGAAATAATAACATATAAGAGACAATAGGGAGTAATTTAATCGCCAATTAACTATGTTGTAACTATCTAGGCTTATGTTTGCTTCACATTCAATGTGTTTATTCCACAATCACTTATACACACCGTCTCCAACAGTGTTAATACAACTGTAAAAACAGCGGGAATTGATTTCAGCTTCACCGGTTATCACATGTTAGGTCACATGTGCAATATGCAAATGCTTACTGGTACTTCCGGCTCTCAACTCACAATACACTATTCTAAAATTTAAAGATAAGATGCTTCTCAAAAGAAACTGCAGTGCATAGTCGTATCCCTACAGCCTATGTCATCAGAACGCACCTGTTGTCGACCCTACTATGCCTGTGTTCTGGTCAACAGCCTCCAGGAACTGTCCAATAACAAGCGGAACACTCTGAATTCGCTTGACCTCTTCCTGGGCATGGAGGTACTCCTTCTTAAGGTTCTTCTGCTCATCCTTGATGTATTCCTCCTGAACCTCAAGGAACTCCAGCTGTCTCTCTAGTTTCTACAAAACAAAAATAACTTTTAATTTCACACATACCGCTAAGTCTGTGTCATAATACTGGTAATTGTGGAAAAATACAGATGCACGTCAAGGTTAACATTGTTTACGAGGTTAAAAGTGTTTATATTTTATGTGAAAATGAATAAACATGATTCACTGTTTCATTCTTCTTCTTGCTCTTACCATGGATAAGAGAGTATGACACTGACTGAACATGATATTAAGTGTTAAACGTGTGTGTGTACTAACAAATTAGAAATAGAGTACTTACTTTGTACTTAACATACAGGTCCTCCAAGTCCAGTGATAGGGGATCCACATGAGAAATTCCAGATGATGTCCCAGGACGGGAATCTGTGAGTTGTGAATCCTCCTGTAAATTTATGTTAAATGTACTATTAAATCTGTGGTCAGACAAATTTGTAACCAATAATCAATCGTACATATGCCAAAACCGTGCCAAGATGATGACCAATAAACAATACAAGTACTGGGATTATCTAGATCTGCTCAGTGGATAGTCCTATAGTCCTGGACCATGACAGTGGAATACATGTACATATGTATTTTATGAAACCAAAAGCCCCATGTTCGCAGCAAAAGTAAGGAAAAATTCTTCAGAATTCACAAAATCAAAACGATAAAAATAAATCCAAATTTGAACTTCAGCATATTCAGGTTGGAGTCTTTCATCATTTTGTTTATCATGTTCACACGCATCGAAATTATGAAAAGAGGTAGAATGTGTGCCTTTATCCTCTAACAGGTGTCTAACAAAAGACATTCAACTCAAGTATTCTGAATGCCAGTCTAGCATAACTGCAGTGATGCTTCATTATAGATGGATCCAGGGCGCTCTAAACCCCCCACACTTTGAAAACAAAATGTAGTATATTGTAGGCAGTAAACATGGTAAAATTGACAGAAAAGATTTTGATATGTTGGACCTGTCCCTTTTAAATATACTGGATCCACCCTTGACCATGCATCATTGCATAGCAATATGTTAGTTAGTATCTCTCAAAATGTACTTATGACCTCTTTGAGATGATGTATTTTAGTTTCCTAAATAAATTATAGTGCATATATTGCCATGATGGTGGATGAACCAAAAATTGCAAACGGCAATGTTTGTGAAAAACAAGTGTACTTTTGATTCTTATCATTTGTATCAATCCTAAAATATTTTTTTAGGATACAGCTATCAAACAAATATTTGAGACGTGAACCATATTTCAACATATTAAGTTCTGGGCTGCCTTGACAGATCACCATGTATTGATGAGGCTGCAGTAACACTAGTGAAAGTCTAAGCAGAGAAGCACTCATTTTAGCAATATTTGCGTTCCCGGTTATCTAAATTAGTTAAAAGAGGTTATATTGCACTGTACATCATGCTTAAACCGGATCCATACATCAAACTCCGGAGTCTTACTTTAAACATACCTAGACCAGCGTAACAGTTTCAGTCCCTGAATGAATGATAAAGCATTTTTTGAGCAAATCACGATAGAAACATCAAGTGTAAACACCGACATTGAAATCATCTGCTTTCTTAATTCTGGAATGTGTTTATCGTCCTAGACAGTGGTAAATGGTATGTCATGGTTACATGTCGATATCTTTTGTACAACGAGAGAAAATGTATCTATCTGAAAGCACCTTTTCAGGGACAACGATGCCGATTTCCTCCATCTTGAAAGTGCCCGGATATGACGTCACTTCCTCACAACTCATTGTTTACAAATGGCGACCAAGTGGGTAGTTTCTCAATGAATGACAGTGACAGTTAGTTTCAGACCAGCATAAATAGACCAGCAAGGTATCTATCGACTCATTCCAATGGCATTCAAACAACATTATATTATGAATCATATACGTGTAACCACCATGTGATTCCGGTAATGTCAAACAAATAAACAACGGTGACAAAATGTTAACTTTCCGAATACGTTTAGAATGTGTCAGAATATGAACATAAATAGTTTTAAAGTGATGATATACGATAGACTTCCGCCCGTATCCACCTAAAAAATATATATAACTAAAAGGAATGAGAGGCAATGCATACATATACACTTTTGGAGGGGTGTTATGGTTAGGAGTCTTTTCAAAGGGTGCAGGCTAAAACGACACCTCAGCAAAACGTCACCGATTTCTCGGGCGAAAATGGCACCTCATATGGCGAAAACGGCTACTATTTTTAATAATGATAAGAACGTATATGTAGTATATATGTTTTCCTTGGGTGGACACGGTCAGTTATCCGAATAAACATTCTTGGCTGCCGTCAGAAAGGGGAGATATATATGAAATATCTATAACATTACTATTTATATCCTACTTACTAAAATAAATATTAAATATATAATATACCTGTAGTCCAATTTCTTGACATTTCCGGCAGACTCAGTTTCAGCTTGACATTGAGTTAATTTGAGTAGAGGCCTCCCAATCAGAGCATTTGTCAGAGTCAGTGAGTAAATTTGACACAATTTAATTTAACAATTATTTGTGTTTGCAAGTGACAATGTAAGTTTAATTTCATTTATTTTACTTCAAAGCATCTGATGTCTTCACAATAAGTTTAGTTGCGCCTCCAAATCAGAGTCGGCGAGTAGAGGCTGGTTTCTAATGTAAACTTTTCTTAACATTTCACAATATTTTGTGTTTGCAAGTGACAATGTGAGTTTAATTTCATGTATTTCAGTACCCAGATTAAAAAAATAATAGGGTGCTGTTTTCGTCAGGCAATAGTAGCAGTTTTCGCTTTAGGCAAGGTCACGTTTTTGCCAATTGGTGCCGTTTTGCTGAGGTGCAGTTTTAGCCATAACCCCTTTTCAAATGTACTTTGTCCTACAGGAGAACCAAGAAATCATTATTATTTAATATAAATCACTCAAAAATTGACTTAATGTTTCTTTTATATGATTTGAGTAAGATTCATGATCATACTTCAAATCTTGATGTTATGCCCGTTATTGATATCTAAGCAATCTAACTCCTTTGCCAGTCCCTGTCTTTATGTGTCATAGAAAATTATATCTTCTTTTGCAGTTAATCAGTCATGTTGTAATGATAATAATGTATATGAGGTGGGAATCACCCCTTGCCATTCAGCCTGATATGAAAGGCGGGTACATGTCTCCCAGTGAAATATGCACTTCTAGGAGGTCCTGAGGGGGGGGGGGGGGGGACCACCTCCGTTGTCTAATGGTAGAGTGTCCGCCTGGATAGCGGAAGTTCCAGGGTTCGATCCCCGACCGCGTCATACCAAAAGACGTTAAAAGATGGTACTTGTTTTTAGCCTGTCTGGTGCTTGGCATTAAGGGGCTAAAACAAGGACTGGTCAGCTTGTAGTCAGTATACTATCATGGAACTGTTCTGGGTGAACAATACCTTCCAAATGACGTGCTGGTTTTCTTGGGGAATTAGTCAGCAAAGAGCCAGAGTCACAGGAGACTAATCACAATTTTATTTACAAGAACAATTAACAATTTACAATATCTTAGAAAATAACTGAGGGTGCCACAGAGAGTCGGTACACACCCTGGGCTGTGGGAGAGAGGTCTGCTTGGTAAGAGAGTCAAACCCCTTCTCTCCTTTTTTTTCTCCTCTTCTCCCTCTCTGGACCAAGGCTTATATAGCCAAGGTCACCTGACATTTAGTAAGTAATAAATATAAATGTAAACAGTAAATCATCAGTGACATACTTGCACATCCTGTTCAGGATGGCAGATGTACACAAAACTGGGGATTAACAATTAGGATTAGCATCTTATAAATAACAGCAATTAAATGTTTCAAGGCATATAGATGTCATGGCTCCAGGGTAATGAGCCTTTGCAATCAAATGTTCTTCAGACAATGGGTGTCGTAAATCAGTCACCACGACAATACTGTGTCTGAGTGGAATATTCATGTTAAACTGCGGCATGGTATCTCAGTGAGCTAGCACTATAAATCAGCATCAGTCCGGACTAGTACAAGCAGCCACACACACACCTGCATGAATATCGCTATATAAATGCAGTAATCTTGGATGCAACATTAAACCCCATTTCACCTCACCTCACCTCACCTCTTGAGGGGGGGGGGGGGGGTGTCACAAGTCAATAGTAAAATTTGGGGCCTTTAGTCAGCAGTCATTAATTTTTCAGCTTAGTCAGAAAAAATGGTGCAAACTGGTTATCCTTATCATATTTAGTCAGTAAATTTGAAAAGTAACTTTGAACAACAACAGAAGAAAGTGTAGACAGTTACGTTATCTAAGGTGCAGTAACACTTTGCTTTTACTGCAGTAGAATAAAATCAGCATGCAGGAAAGCAGAAGTTGAATGCAGATTGTGAGTTTGTCTGTCGGGAAACATGGGGTTCTGCTTTTGTTTCATTACTGTAATTATTGTTTTGCAAATACCAAACACTGACTGGTTCTGTTGTGTTGTTAGACTTAGTTATGCATGACATCTGTGAGATTTTCGAACAATTATGATAAACAGTCGAAGTTTCTATTTACGCTAAGCAGTTTATATAGACTTCTTACAATAATCTTTAACGATAAAAATTTGACACATTTTACATTTACGATAGATTTTTTAGTTGTTTTACACAGAACAGTACAACCCCATCAGGACTGTCATTCTAGTATTTACTCCCAGACAAGGTTCCTGGCAGTGAATTCCCTTACGCTTCCTGCACTTTACTAAATCATCAAGCGACTGTACACAGAGTAATTGTCTAACATCTGCATTCCTTAAATATCATAGATCTATTCTGAAAGATTTTTTTTATAATCCTGGTAATTTCTAACCAACATAATTGTATCGAGTGCTTATACTTGTTGCATTCCAATAGAATGAAATCAAGTTCATCAAATCTTTAAATATCTTCTATTAAGAAAAGTTGATATTTATGTCTGTTTATCAATATAGAATGTCATCAAGTCGATCACCAACTCCAGTGAGTTCCGTGTCAGCATTTTCCAAGTTGCCTCCAATCATCACAAGTGAGGCCGACCGCGACTTCCTCCATGAACTCAGCTCGTACATTGACCGAGAGATGGGCAAAATACATTCTGATGATGAAGAACAACGTTACATTGTGTACAAAGGAGTTTTTAATAAAGTAAGTGAAATATGCAGAGCTTCATAAAGGTTTGAATTCTTAAGGTTCAACTGGCCTATTACCTGGGAAAATGATGGGCAAGGTGTCAGAAAAATAGGCCACGGGACTCATGTTGATCAGAGAGATTTGGGCATTTGTACTTTTCGAGGTCAGTAACACAGACTCCCAGAAGCCTTAACTACTGGTAGAATCTCATTAAAATCAGACCTTAGTTCATGCTACCGCTAAACAAAGATCTGAAGACATCCCATTAGGGGTCACGTCAGAACGACCTTTCATCCGACCAATCAGAGCGTCGCTTACCAGATTATGAAAGTGACACTCAGAATGTGATTTCTAATCATGCAACCTTGAAAACTTTAACACTGGGTATTCCGAACGATAGTTATGGGTTTAACGACTGATTCCTTACAATCTAGACCATCTATTAGCCATTCCAGAATGTTTTTTTGTTCAGGTTTCAAATTTGAAATCGAGAATTAGTCAAAATATGTTTCGAAGTGTAGTCGCCAATTTGAAATAAGTGCCGTAAAGCACGAGAAAGCTGCCTTCTGATTGGTCACTCCATTGGTCGGTCAAAGTTCGCGCAAGGTCGGTCTGACGTGACACGTAATCGGATGTCCTCAGATCTTTGTTTAGCGGTAGCAAAACAAAGATCTGATTTTAATGAGATTGGTACTGGTACAGACTATGGTCTTTGCACACACAAAATCAAAGACTCAAATATGTAGTCATTGCACTTTATTTAAAAGACATTATTTCTCACATAATAAACATCATGTCATAACCCTTTACAGTATTGTTTATTTATTTCACAATTTCTCCTTGAAATTGACATGTCTTTTGAGACCTTGGGTTCTACAGTATGTTAAATGTATTAAATATTGTTATATCTAACTATTATGAAGCATCTGTTCGATTGCTTTGTAGGTTATTGAGCATGTGGTAGCTTACAAGCCTCTTCTGACTGATATAAAGAAGGAATATGAAGACACAATTGGTGCCATCAGGAAGGGGCAGAGGGAAGCAGTATTTCTTCAGGAGAAACTTAAGGCAATGGCCTCGGAGCCTTCCACTATTCGCAATTATAAGAAACGAGCTGATGAACTGGAAGAAAGGTAATCACAATGTGCATGATATGTGCCCAAACCGTTTTCCCTAATAGGTTAGAGGATATAGCACTACATAAAGACTGGACCTCCTCCATGGTGTAGTGGTAGAGTGTACACCCAGGAGAGCGGAAGGATGTGGGTTCGATCTCCGTCCATGTCAAAGATGGTACTTGTTGATACCCTGCCTGGCGTTCAGCATTAAGAGGTTAAAACAAGGACTGGTCAGCTGGGAGTCAGTGTACTGTGTCTGAGTTGGGTATTCATGTTAAACTGCGCCATAGTATCTCAATGGGCTAGCATGATAAAACTGGCATAAGTCTCGACTGTACAAGTAGACACACGCCCATGCATGCTAGTTGCTATTTAAGTGCAATAATCTTGGCTGCGACGTTAAACACCATTTCACCTCACCACATATAAAGCTTGGACTTTAATTTACATGTTGAAAGAGTAAGTTTTTGTGTATATATTTGTTTCAGAATTTCCATTGTACAGAAGGACAATGGCCGCTTGGAAGCTGAATTGTCTCAGCTAAAAGCTGCATGTATGGAAAGAGAGAAGAAAGAAGAGAAGAAGGAGATTCCAAAACCACATCTCAAGAAAGACAGACGACAGATTCCAGGTATTTTGTACTTTATTGTTGATTATACTCACCATATATATTAAAAAGAAAACTCCACCGGCAATTTCAATGACACTCACATCATGATGATGTCTGGGGCGGTAAGATACAGAGGATTGTGGTCAGCTCATCATGGTAAAGTCTTGGTTCAACTCCCCACATTGGAACAATTTGTGAAGCCAATTCTTTGTGTCCTCTACGATAGTATTGCTAAAAGTAGCAAAAAAAAACATACCTAGAAATAAAAGTGATAACCTTTTCCATATTCATAAGAAATCTCTTCTGAAATTTCCGACTATATCATGAGCATGTGTTAATGATTCACCTTCAAATAGTGATGATTGGACAATCATTCTTGTCACTGATGTGTCAAGTTTGGAAATATCCTTCACATGTCTACCATAACATATTTTGAAACTTACAAACAATTACCTTGACCTCCTTGACCCCCAGGTCTGACCTTGGATGAGTCAACCGACCTGAAGGTGTTGTACCGTAAGCTGGAGAAGCTGGAGCGACAGATGAAGGAGCTAAACATCTGTTACAAGACGCGGTATGTCAGCAAGACCCACAAGCAAGAGTTGAAGGAGGGGCTTGACAACAAGGTCGCACACAGAGACCACCTCCTGTGGCAGAGTCAGGTGTACCGAGAGAAGAGAATGAGGCTGAAGATTGCACTAGAAGCTGCTGAGGCATACAATCGAGTCAAACCTCCACATCAGACAGTAGGAGATGCAGTCATGCTGGCATTTGCACAGTTTCAAAGTTCTAGAGCCAAAGGTATTAGATACAAATGCTAAGAGAATGTCTGATTACTAAAGAACATGAATAGGTATACTTACTTCCATATTGAAGTTGGATGGTCTGCTAATAAGCAGGTTAAAAATGAAATATTACCCTTAAGTGTAGAATGATTGTTTGTGATAACTTTCCGATATTTTCACATATGCATTTTAGTGATTCTCATGTGCTTCATTGTTGAGAAAAATATGATATGACATAATCCATTGTTCATGTCACAAATTTATTACATTATGTCATCTGAACAACTTTGTGCCTTCAGTGACGTTTCTGTTAACACTTCATGCTCTTTTTCTTCATTTTCACTCAATGACTAATATATTGACTCACCTACTGTGAAACTCGGATTACAGATTATCTGTCCCTCCTGAATGAATGTTGTCGCCTGTTGCCAAAGGCTCGGGATTAACACCATTCATTCACTCGGGACATATAATCCGTAATGCCTCGTGGCTTGTTGGTTATTCTTTGTGTGTAAACTATTATGGCAAATGTGAGGGCATGTTTCTTTGTCATCCCTTCACTGAACCCTTTATTTAAAAATTTGATCCGTAAATGTTAAGTCATTGAATTTATAGACCTATGGATCTGAATAGATTTTTCTGATGTTGAATATTCAATATTTACATGAAATACAATTGTATGGGTTTAATATGTTTCCATCTTCCTGTCCCAGAACCAGTATCCACAGAAGGAGGGGATGGTCTGAATCGGGAGGTGACCCCTTCCAATGTAACAGTTACCACAACAACGTTTGAGGAAGATGATCCCAACAAGGAGAAAGAGGCTGAGATTATGCTGGAGTACATAGAGAAATTTAATGAGTTGTTTGAGGACGGCAAGTTTGAGGAGGCAGCCGTCCACGCTGCCAACAGTCCGAAGGGTATACTGAGGACGAGGGCCACTCTGGTCAAGTTCAGGGGTAACTACACGTCTTCAGAGATGACGCTTTCTTTTGCATTTTGACTCCCCGAGGAGTATCTATCTGAAGGTTGCAACATTGTTTTTCTCCCATCTTTACATGTATAACATGTTGTGAAATTACCTTTTGACAGTTTTGTCACTTTTCTTCATACAATCTTGTGTATATTGACTATAATCATGAATAATGGCTGACAGTTATTACTGTATGTTGCTGTGTGTTCACTGGGGGATCCAGAGTTGGGGTGCAGGGTGTGTGCATGCTCCTTTTTTTCTGACACCTTACATGTTAACTGCGCCCTCTGCCAAGTGTCATTGTGACTTGGGTATTATGTGCACACCTTCTTTTCAAAGTCCGGGATCCACCTCTGATGTTGTATGTGTTTTTTAGAGGTGAAGGGCAAGTTCCCTGGCAGGACTCCTCTGCTGAGTTTCTGCGATGCCTTGATGTCATCGGTGAAGGAGGCTGGGTCACGGCCGAATGAAGCATTGTCCCTGGATTGTGTGCTGTGTGCCCTCAATGAGAACAAGCTGGACCTCCTCTACCACTGGCTGGCTCAGGACAGGTCAGGGGTTACATTTTCATATTGGATATTTCGTTAGTAGTTTTGGGTTTTAGCCAATAAAGACATCTAGAGTCTAGAGAGCAGAGTTGTGTCCCTTAGATGCCAGGATCTGGTCACCGTCATACTCCCGCTTATTGGGAGGAAACATCTATGACCTATGTCACTTTTGGTTTTGGGCCCACATTAAGCCGGTACACTGTAATGAAACAAAACTGTTCAACTATGGAACCAGCCTTCTTTATTGTTTGTTTCAATAATTGTTAGTTTGTAATATGAAAATATATCTCTATCTTGAACAAAAAATAACCACAAGCTTTGAAACTTACAGACTCACCCTGTCCCTGGACGTCGGTCACCACATGGCCAACCACTGCTCGTGTACCATCCCCTGTAAATGTGGCTGCCAAGCATTGGCCCAGAGTGTCTTCATGCGCCTTCAGGCACACCGAGACAGTGTCCTGTGTCTCCTGAAACAGGGCCGAGTACATGCTGGGATCCAGTTCTCACGCAACAAGGGTGTCCTGTCCACAGAGAACCTGATGGCCATGTTGACAGCCTGTCCCTCCCTCAAGCTTGTCCACGCTCTGGTGGAGCATGTGCCCATTGACCAAGAGGCTGGACCTCTGCTGCCCCTTGGCGTTGTGCTTCGGACACTGGTAAACAAGGGTCAGACAGACCTGATTGCCCGGTGCCTTCAGGACCTCAAACAGGGCACATTACAAGGTGAGATCATCTTGTAGAGAGTGTATGTTTGTCTTTACATGATCTAAAGCCTTTAGCCAAACAGTGGGGGTTTCTTACTTCTTCAAATATTTACTTACTAAATCAGGGATGAAGAACCTCACTTTCCTGATGATTCTTGTTAAACTTGCGCAGTGGCGTAGCCTTGTGGTTAAAGCGTTATAAACTGAAAAGTACAGGTTCGATTCTCCACATGGATAAAACGTGATAAGCTCATTGTTTGCGTCCCCATGACATTATTGGAATATTGCTTTCTGTCTGTAAGCAGTGTAAAATGAAACACACATTCTGATGTGTTACACTATGTACCCTTGCTTTTCGGCAGTTGGTGATGAGACGGCAGATTCACTGTTCAACGGTGTGTTCCTCGACGCCCAGACCTCCACTGACCACTGGATAGCCATCTCCGGACATCTTCAAAATAATGATTACGAAGACACGGCAGTACAACTGGTTGCTACGGTGACAGTTGTTGAGGCGTTACAGAAAGCATTAGAGATCCATGCCCATAAGGAACATGACTATGTGCAGTAACCATAGTAACAGACTGTGGTACACTGTGTGTACAATGTGATACCTTGTGTGACTGTGATATACAATATACATGATATACAGCTATGTTTTATATTCCCAAGAATCAGGGTTCTGTTCCACAAAGTGATCTTAGTGCTGCAGCTGTTGTAACCTTCCACTTCCATAACACAGACCTTCCATGCTTAGGAACCTGGGTGCCGCTGTACAAAACAACCTTAGCGCTAAGATGACCGTAAGCCAATGTTAAATTACAGGAGTTACGATCACTTAGCACTTACATCCCTTTGTACAACAACACCCAAGTCATAAGTTTGAAGTCGGATAAAAAGCTTAGTTCCTTATGTTTTTAGACCTTGCCCCACCTCTCCACAGAAAATTTAATTCAGAAAAAGTTGAATTCCTGAGTAAGAGGCTCTTTTGTCGTGCATTCTAATGTTTTTTCCTTTTGCAGAACATTTATCAGCTGAAGTTTATTGACTAGCTCTTGAAAATCATTTGTAGGCTTTCAATAGATCAAATCTGCCATTCATTATTACCCACTGCGCTTGGATATACTACCAGTGCTGGCAATGTCACACCCTACCTCTTGTGAAGACAGTTGTATTGAATGACAGCTCATCATAGCATGTGAATACAAATAGGATCAGAGTTCTTGCTTAGTTTAGTTACTATATAAAAAATAGAAATCAGTTATTATTGTCAGATGGAAAAGTTGCACCGCAGCCCAATTAAACTTAAAGAATAAAGATTTTTATCTGACATCAAACTCTGAACTGGTTCCTGACCACTGTTATGTCAAGGCGTGAAGCCCAACTCACTCACTACAGCTGTAATGCTAGGACCGCTTTTTGGAACATAACCAGGTCAGCTTGAGTGCAAGCAGCTAAATCTGATGACTGACTTTGTTATGTTTTTGTATTGATGAGTAAAAACATTATTTGTCATTTTGTTGGTATTGTTCTTATTTGTATTAAATGTTGCATGAAGAAGTCTGAACATGCAACAACATCATTCAGTGTATTAACTGCTAAAACATACACCTGGCCAGATGCATTAGGAGCTCAACATACAGCAGGTCAGATGGAGTGAGTTAGAGGGTATGGTTTTACGCCGCTTTTAGCAATATTCCAGCAATATCACGGTGAGGACACCAGAAATGGGCTTCATACATTGTACCCATGTGGGGAATCGAACCAGGTCTTCAGCATGACGATCGAACGCTTTAACCACTAGGATACCCCTCCACCCCTGGCCAGACGGATCACCCTTTTTCACATCTTATCTGCATCCTCGGCCAATCCTTCGTGACTTTGGAATACGGTAATGTGCACCCCCTCAAAATCCTGGATCCGCCTCTGATATTCACACCATGAAAACATATACTACTCAACATTTCCAAGGACAAAAATAGTCGTCTTTAGTCAAAAGTGTGGTCCTTAGCAAATGTTGAATAGTTTAGTATCCCAATGCATCAGTAATTTTGTGATTGGGTACAGCTATTTGATACAAATGGTACATCATGCATTTTGGAACTAAGTCACATTTTAGTAACAGACAAATCAACAAAGAGTTTATCTGAAAGTCAAATTGAACCTTTTTATTTGTAAAACTAAAAGGTGGACAAATGTCGTTGTAAACAGTCATGAAAATAGTAAGTGTTACATTCAACAGCAAACCTTCCTAAAAATCTTCAGAATGTTGTAAAGTGTTAAATAAAACCAAAGTGTTAGAAAATATCTAAAACTTGTAGGACAGTGTCATGACGAAAGTGTTCCATCCACTCTTGTTGATATTTGGCTTGGTTTGTATCAACTACAACCACCTTAAGTTGAACTGTGCCAGGACCAACACGAAACCTGTGTGTCCTTGACATAAACAGTCTGGTTGACCTGCAGCTAAACTTAGAGGAGATGAAACAAACGGTCAAGGAAAAATGTCCCAATCTCATCATGCTCATATAACCTGAAAATGGAATTAAGTTTGAAAGTCATTTTCATAATCTCAACAGGTGTACCAAGACAGGTTTGGATTATATGACACTCAGATGAATTCTTCTGCTTGATGATTCATGTTTGTGCTTTATCAGATCAGTTTCCATGATACATTTATGTGAACCCACATCACTTAAAACCAAAGTTCATACTCGTCATGACAGATCAGACGCAAACTTGCTGCTCTGAATTTGAAGAATCTCTGAACAGTTGAAATTTGGAAAGTCCTTTCAAAGTAAATTTCCAAAATCCTATATATCAATAGTAGCACTATTTCACAAATATCAGATCAAATGTTCCTGAGGAGCTTTTCTGAGTCAGTAATAATCGTCATAATCCGGAATGACTGATGAAAGGTACATACCCTGTAGTGTCCCGAGAATAGGCCCATCTTTGAGCACCAACAAACTTGATATTCTTGTTGGTTGTCTTGTGGTCGAAAGTCCACTAACCAAATTGCAACATCTACTCTATAAGGTTGACCTTATCCTGACTACCCAAACAGTAAACATCATCAGAAACAATCGATGTCTCATAAGTTTGTTATTTTCTTAGTTACTGTTTGTTTTATAGCAAAAGAAAATTAGCTCTAGATCATGATCATGTACTCCACATAATATCAATGATAACTATTCCGTGATAAGACTGGTGTAAATTGTTACTGTTGCTTAGTGGTTCACATGGTGTAGGATTCTGGTAGAGATGGGGTCCCTCACAGGCAAGGGACAGGCCATTGTATAGGGGTGGGCTGGAGTGATGGATCTTATGATAGCATCATATTTGGCTGCCCCTCCTTTTATGTAAAACAATTTCAAGATCCCACCCCTAACACACAAACATGAAAATGTTTATTTGAAAAAAATGGATTCGTGTCAATTTTTAATGCCAGTCCTATCCCAACTTTCGACAAAAGGACCAGATTGGTGCAAGGGGCCTCCACCTGTGACACTCCAGTATTAAAGCTTGATGAACATTTCAATATTAATGAAAAAACATACCACAAACAAACTTTGTAATTTCGATGAATTGAACGATAACAGGAAATGGGATTTTGGGTTTTTCACAATGGTTGCTTTGAGGTCATTTTTAGAAAAAAGATATCCAAAGAAATGAGCAATTTCACAGCAATGGTAAAAATATAAAGATGACACATATAAGCTATGCTGAAATACAAATTAAAAATGAAATAGAATAATGTCAAGAAACAAACACAAGTTATTGAAAATCGTACAAATGCAACACTAATAACACATTTCAAACATTTGAGCAGAACAACAGTAAGCCAGCAGTTTCCAGTTTCTACCAGAGACCCAATTGCCAGTAATCATGGCAACATGACCTTGTCAATAATTCAAATCTATTGACTGTATCAATACTAGATCAAAAGACAATAATCTTCTACACCCAAGACTTTCTCTCACCTTGCTAGCAAGGTCTACCTGAATGCAATGTTGTTGTTGACTTTGAAAATTCTGAAGTGTTGTAGGTTTATCAAGATTACAGACATATTAATTCTGTTTTATACTTCCAATAATGTCATTTTATTGTAATTTGAAGATTAAATTACACTGACTAAATTGGTGTGGTGAGTATATATTCATGCTACTGTAACAAAATACAAGAATATAAATGGGATAAAGCTTAAGTTGAAAAACTACCATGAACTAACAGCTTTTGTAACCCAATATTCCACCAACAAAAATCTATGCTAAGAATGGTTATATCCCATTAGTTAGACGTCCCATTAGTTAGACGTCCCAATTGTTAGACATTTGTAATAAGGCAAAGAGGGAATATACCTACAGGTGTAATGGATCAGTCCTAATTAGATTAAAGTACTGAGTAGGGATAGGGGACTCACAGTTTAGGGAGTATATGTGTTATAATTTCGTTTAATTAACCTAAATTACCTTACTCTCAGCACAGGTTCAATAGGCATGAGATTAACTATGTAAACTATGGAGTAGCTTAATTGTCTTACTGTATGATCAGTTGAAGGAGTTGAGTTTAGATTATCTACTCATCCAACAAATAAAAATGATCTTGGGGTACGTATCATTATCAGTATCGATTTGGCTGGTTTAAGGAAAGTAGAGTACATCACCTCTCGGCGTGGAAGTGAGCAGTTGATATTAGATGGATATATTTACAACAGAAACCGCGAGAGGCAAACCTACACACATTGGAGATGTGTCGTCAAGACGTGCAATGGGAAATGTACAACTGTCGGTGACTTTCTTTGCAATCAGTCGGAACATAACCATCCGCCTGAAGATGAAACCAGAGTGAACTTTGTCAGCAATCTTCGTAAAAGAGCGCGAGAAGTAACCACACAGATGCAGGCATTGTACGAGGAGCAAGTCACTCAAGTAGATGAAGCCAACATGCCAGCGATGCCATCATTTCAGAGCGTGAAAAGTGCACTTTACAGGTAAATATCATCCCGTATTTTTGACTTGGTTAGAATTTACTTTTTTTTTAGGTCCCACATAACTTGTTTTGCTCTTAAACATTTCAAGTTAATGAAATCATTATCAATATTTCGTCTGGGATAAATAAACTGTAAAAGTTATTAAATGTAAAGTGTACATTACCAAAAACTTGCACAAAGTGTTGTTACAAACTGTATTAAATTTATCAAATGTAAAGTGTCGTTAAATGTTAAGTATATTATTAAAGTATCTATTTAAAGCTGCTTTGCTTTGTTTCTCAGATCGTATCTGGACTATTCCATTTTAAAGTCTGAGGTAACAAGCATAAGGATTAGTGTGCACTCAACCGTTTAAAGTGTTGTTATAAGCTGTCTAACTATTGGGACGTCTAACTAATGGGAGGACACCCTAAGAATCCAACAAGTTTAATCAGCTGATTAGCTTGACACTATCAGGTAGTCCTTCACTTCTTTTGAGTAGTATAGATGTATTGGTGCTTGGCCACAGACTGTTAAACACGTTTCTGTGTTTTAAAGCTGTTACATAATCTGAGGGGGTACATGAGAGGAAGAAGCACCACCTGGGTATTATGGCAGGGCCTTTATGAGCAACTATACGTATTATACTTAATATGCACATACTGCAACAGCGACAAAACGAGATACTGGAAAATATCACAGAAATAATGACAAAAATTTGCTATAAAATATTTGATTAAACAAGCAATATGACTAGACTAATTCACAAAAGTTCAATTCTTCAACCTGCCCGGAATTATCCAAGAGCCAAGAGAGAATATACCATTAACAAGTCCATGAATCTCTTCCAGGAGAAATGAGTGAGTTTGATTCTTCTAAGGTGAAACCTATGAGCATGGGTAAGCAGCTGAAAAACTACCGGTAAGGATAATAAATGGGATGAATCTTGCATTCCAGCCGATCCTGGTTGCACCAAGGGATGCAACCCTGCACAGCAAATTGTGAAAGATTAGCAACTGCACCACCTAAGCTCAGCTAAGGTACAGCAGGATTCCATCAGCTGCAGAGGCTCTCTGGTCGACCACCCTTGTGAACCATATTGCAATCAGTGTACTACTTACTCATCAGAGTGAGTGAGTTAGTTGGGTTTAATTCTGCTTTGAACAGTAGTCCAGATATAATCACTGTGTGTCAGCTTAATGTGGAATGAAAGCCCAAAGTGATGCATGTCTCAGACTTTTACTACTTTGGTGAAACCCATGAGCACGGTTATGGTGCTGACAAACCTGGAAACATAATCAGAATGAACAGGGATTCGAGCCCATGATCATAGGTTTGTTTGGGACCCAAGGGACATTACTCTGCAGAGTGAATGAGGAGATGACTGGGGCACCTGTGCCCACTTTACTGATCAGATGTATGCAACATGATACTATGGGTCTGCAGGGAGTGGGCAGCTAAAGTAGATGCATTTACATAACATGTTCAACACTCAGTCATATCAAGGCAGCTGAACGTGAGTGGAAGCTGACCTATGAAACAAGGCTTTGATGCTGACAAAACCTTAATGTAACATTGTACACAATAATATCAAGATGCAAGACAAAACCAAACATTCGTTGTTTGTGCTTAATGTGCATGAGGTGTTTGATGTGTAGGGCCATATAAATAATCTTAAATTTCACAACAGCTGATTTTAACATGCAACCTCCTGGTTGGTGCAAAGGCTGAGCAACCTCTGTCATAGATTGGGTCACCACTGAGGGAGACAACTTGTCCAGGAACATACATACAAATATAGAATATATCAGAATTCTCTATGTTCATTCAAAAAAATAGAACACTGAAGTCACGGAAAAGACTCCCCATAAGATACGATTTTCAACATTCAGCACTTGCTGGCATCAAAGAGGATATTTACACTGATATGTGTCAGATCATCACTTGTTTCAGTAATACATGTATACCATGCTCAAGCATGTTTCAGATCATCACTTGTTCCAGCAACACATGTATACCATGCTCAAATATATTTCAGATCATCACTTCTTTCAGTGACAAATGTACTAAATCCTTGAGTGTATTTCAGATCATCACTTGGTATAGTGACCCTTACTCAATCCTTGAGTATATTTCAGATCATCACTTGTTTCAGTGATACATTTACACAATGCTTGAGTATGTTTCCATTTGCATTCTCTAAATGCCTAAGTATCTCACACCAGGGAACATTAAGTTGTAATAATTTTTCTGGCTCAACATGTCCTGGACTAATATTATAAATTGTTTGAAAGTAACATTTCCAGAGCATTCCTGCTTTTGTTGCACAAAACGATCTTAGCGCCTTGTCTCTACTCCCATATTTTAACACAGACTTACATACTCCCATAGTTTAACACAGACTTACAACTGTCTAAGTACTAATATTGCTCTGAACAGACAACTCTGAAGAAGTGACATTCTTGAGCATAAATATATAGTACAGGATCAAACATAAAACAAGTTCATGGAATGGACGATGTGCACAGTTTGGTATTCACAGTTATATGTTTTCAACATGTACAATCATCTTAACTTCCCTAATATATCACTTTATCGTATGAGAACAATTCTCAAATACTCAGCATCTAAAGCCTTACAATAACATTGTTATCATAGCTTTATAGGTAAGGAAGTTCCTGCAGGGTCTGCTGTTCAAACCAGCTTGGAGCAAGATTTCGTCTTATCACAAAAGCACAAACACTTGATAATGATATGTGAATGGCAATAAAAAGTGATTATGAGAATTGATATTTAAAAGATGAACATTGTTAGCAAGGAAACATTGCATGTCTAATTGTCAACTAATAGCTTCTCTATTCCTTCCCTTGTATATACCCGCTAGTGTATGACAGTAAGCTTGAAAGGCAGATAGTAAGATGGGGGGAATTGGCACGTCAAGAGATCTCTGCATAATTTTACAGCTTCGTGCCACAACATATTGATTATTTGTTCATCAGATCAGTGCATACAAATGAGAAGTTCTTTACAATTTTGTTTTCCAGAGGGTAGTGGTGGGTGGGTTGGACCCTATTAATATCATTAAAAAATCTGTATTTCTCCCTAGACATTCTGGAACTAAACAGGGTCGTAGAGCCTCATCTTTAATTTGCTTCTTTCCCTCCCCCCCCAACACACACACCATAAAAAAACCCACCAACACCAAACAAATAGGGAGAAAAAATTGCTGTGATCCCAACAAACAAATAATATGTTGCAGCCTTATTATGATAAATCCATTCTAAAAACACTGAAACAATCCTTCAAAACCACCTCTTGAGCATATGGACAAATATCTTCCAAAGATTTACCCATTTTTCTATGCACATAATACTCTGGCTGTGTATCAAGCAATGTCAAGCAACAAATTGAGCAACCTGGAGTGTTGTGCATGAACGTAGACATCCTCACATTACCACAACCAGCACAACCATGACGGTTCTTCTGGGAAATAGTGGACCTTCTGCCTCTTCTTCAACGTGAACCTGGTGAGATGAAGCAGCTCCCTTGACCGCTGGAACAGCCGTGTGAGAATGATGCTGATGGCTGACTGATCGTGGCGATGACACTTCCCGTACCTCCATGCTGTGTTGTCACAGTCGTACACGGCCGAGTCAGGAAGGATACAGGTCTTGTTGAGAGCACATGCCACCCACGGCCGCATCACCTTGTCCATGGTGAAGCTGTTCCCGTAGGCAATGATGTAGCCTGGCTGCAACTCATAGTAGCTGGAGAACAGGCAGGGCTCCTCCTTGAACCAGCGGAACATGGCGAGATCGGTCTGCTGGGCCATGGAGAACTCGCCGTATGCCACCATGATACCGTTGTTGATGCCAAGCTGGAAGGTGCGGTGAAAGTCCTGCTGCAGCAGGCGGATTGACGAGTCCATCCACGTCACATAGCGGTGTTGCAGAAGCTCAAGCTGGGGACAGACAAACATCAGCATTTATCAATGTTCAGTGTTCACTTCATAGAACATCATGTGATGTTTACATTTCAAAATGTTTCAAGTGCTCTGGTTGCAGGTCCTCAGGTTATTTTTTACTTTTAAAGGAGTGATGATCATATGATTTACATTTACTATTAGTCTATTGCACATTACACTGCAGAGACACAAATAATAAAGGCAAGTTAAGTAATGGATATTTAGGTTTATGAGAACCGAGATAAATGTCAGTCATTAGCTTAACTGCATCTAACAAAAAGTCATATTGATGCATTCTTTGGTCACTGTCATGAACAGACTATTCAATGCTATACTGGCTGGCATATGCTGAATAATTTATGTCTTTTGTTTTAGTTTGTAGAAAGACAGCCAAGTCTGGTATACATGGCTTGTGTGAGGACACTTTCTTGAATTGCACACAATTACAAGTACAGTTATGAACCGTGACAAATTAGCTGACACATACAGAACAACATCATTTTATTAATAATTATGTAAACATGTGAGAGTGTTCCACAAAGCTATCTTCGAAATTTGATCATTGTAACAGGCAGCAACACATTCATATCCAAACTCAAAAAAGTAAGTTTATTTGCCCCTTGGGCAAGAGATTTTCAAAGCACCATTGGAAGGAAGCAGCATTTACCTGTATGAGAAGAGGTTTCCATGCGTATGATTTCATATTTTCCCCAACATGTGCTGGGAACAGATGGAATGGGAAATCCTTCACTTCACATCGGCAGTACTTCTCCACCTACACGATCAGACAATAGTTCTTTCAGAGTATTATCATGATTGCTGGTTTCAAATACACAATAGCTGCATATCAAACCAACTATATAATGATGCAGCTTCGTTGCTCACCCAGTTCTTTCCACAGTCATAAAATTATAATTCAAATAATATGTACAGAACTAGCTCGTAAGGGACTGGTCATTTATCATAAATGGAGGGGGGTCCAGGGGGAGGGTCACCAAAAAGTATGACTGTCTATCGGGGAGGGTCATATGAATTAATACACAAATTTGGGAACATTTCATAATAAAAAATAAAGTGCTTTTGCAGTTTGTCATTTCAGGAAGGGTCTGGAAAGGAATGTACAAGGACATGGGGAGGGAACTTATTTTCAGTACTTCAGTGCATCAAAATCCTGTGACCACCCCCCACTTTCTCCCTGCAATAAACGTCCAGTCCCTAAATAAACAAGGCTTGACCAGACACACCTGTAGTTCATGAGCAATGTCCCATGCCATTGGGTGCGAATCTGCCAGTTTACTCTTCTTAACAACTCAATGCTTATTTAATAAGCTCTTATAACAAGCAAGACCTACAGGGCAGCTCACCAGTTTTCTCTGACATGGCTGAAGACCAAGGTCATAGAAGACCAGGTGGATGTTGGAGTATGTCCCCATCAGTGTGGTGTGCAGCATGTGGAGCAGTCCCTGCGATGCATGGAAGAACTCCGATGATGATCCTGTTACTATGACAACAGTTTCCAGGCTGACCTTCTTCAAGGGTGTGGCCTGGATATACTGGAGCATGTCCTGCTTCAGCTTGTCCACACCGTCCGTGGGGTAGGACTCCACCTTCTGGAGGTTGGCGTCTGGTAGGCCGGAGAAGGTGAGATGGCACAGATTGTCCACACATGGCTCCTGTCCTGAAACACAGGTTAGATGCGTTTTTAGCACTTGGTTTAGGTACTGAGTGTGAAATGTGCAGCTCCAAAAGTGCTTTTTAAATTTCCAACAACATCATCATCATCATATCTACATACCAAAATTAACAAAAGTAAAACTAAAATCAAATTCTTAAGAATTATCTGATTAATTCCCATTGAATCTGTTTACAATTTAGATGCTAAATGCCAGTGTGATGCAAAACTTTGACTCTCTCACTGTTTACAAGGTTTTTTTTGTAATAAAAGGAGACTGATTCAGGAAAGGGGGCTAACTCTTGGGGTTGGTATTTAAATAATCACCAAAGCATTTTATTTCCATTCACTTCATTTACTTGATTCATCTTCTCATCAGAATATTGAAAAAGACTAAAGCCATAGAAAAATCTGCAAATTTCATATTCCATCTTAAACCATTTGTTGCTGATCAAGCTAGGGATGTGATGACTGCACCTGGGGTTATGTATCTGGAACACACTTGGGGGTTGAAGGAAGGGAAGGCAAAGTTGCGCTTGATGCTTCGATGTTCTGAAAACATAAACTTAAACTGAGAAAAATATTAAATCTATACTCATACATGAGTATTTAAATGAAATTATGCGAGTTGAAACATTTTTGTAAACTTGGTACCATATTAAATTCTTATATTATTTTTTAAGTGAAAGGGGAAGTGACTTGGATCAATCGGTTCAACCCCTTCAATACACTACTGCTTTGTCACCAGCTGAAGAGATGGAATATCATCTACTTACCTGAGAACGTGCCAAGTATATGTTCCAGGTCCCATTTGTCTACTTTCGGGTATCTCAGGGACAGAACAGCTGAAAAACATCATCATCATTTGCAGACATTATCATTAATCTTTAACCATAGTAACTAAACGTTGTTGGGTAATTGTTACCCTTAATAATTATACAATAATATTTATTTATCACTGTTCATTCTCTAAACAGAGGAACAGAATAGAAACATGTGTAAAACATGCTCAGCATAGTTGACTATTTTCTGAATCGGAAGTAAAAAGTCTGAGGGCAAAGATAAGCCACAAATAAAGTTCTACAAAAGTTGAACAAAAAGTTTCCAAGTTTTTATATAACATACATGTGGCTTCATTTGTAAATGTTGTGCAAGGTTCAAGAAGCGATAACATTGAACATAAATGAGTATACAGTATGCCAGTTTCAACATCTTTTCTGACAATGTGTTAAAGATATTTGTACCATATATTGACAAGTATATTTTTCTTGGTGTTTGAGGCAAATACATTTTCAGCACGACTACTTTAGATTTATTGCTAATTCGTTTGTGTCAAGTGGATAATAATCAAGTTATTGTACTTCCAGGCAAAATGTCTTATTTCAACTGGATCTATTAATTCCTACTAGGTTGCTATACATGTAGTTACAAGGAGAAGTTCTCATAAAGCTTGCATGTTTCAAATAAATAAAACCTGTGAAAATCCGGGTTAGAATAGGTCTTCAGCAAACCATGCTTGCCGGTAAAGGCGACCATGTTTGTTGTAAGATGAGACTAACGGGATGGGTAGGTCAGGCTCCCTGACATGGCTGATGTATGTCATCGTATCCCAATTGCGTAGACAGATGCTAATGATATCAGTCACTGGATTGTCTGGTCCAGACTCAATTATTTACAGACCGCTGTCATATAGATGGAGTATAGCTGAGTGCGGTGTTAAGCAACAAACAAACAAACAAAAAATCATATAAGTAAGAGGCTTATTTCTTCCAACAATCTTGTTTATACCTCACATCATAAGCCAACTTGACCAAAATGAAGATGAGGAAATTGTAAATTATTAGCAAGAAGACAAAATATTTACTGTCTTACGTACATGAGGGGCGGAAGTTTTCCACATAATCTTTGCGAACACTTTTCTCACTTTGTTGACCTAGAGAGAGACAAAGAACAAAATTAATGTTTTCATCACAAAATGCTTTGTCGGTTGCCAAATATTTGATTCTTAGATGGTATATGCAGAAAAATTGAAAACCCAATGGATGCAAAAAGAAAATGACTGTTAATTATCAAAACCAAAACAGTTGTAGCCATGGAAGTTACACATACAATTTTACTCTCAATGTTTTTGTTTATGATTTTCGCAAAAAATGAAGTTCCTCACCAAGGTTCACCAGGTACAGGAACACACCTATCAGCAATGTCGTGAAAATCCATCGCCATTTCCTAGGACCTTAAGACAAAAGATATACTCATGGCAAAATAGCAATACTGAACATGGATAATTAAACATGAAAATTAATGGCGGAGTTTAATTAACATTTCCCTGTGTTATCATAGTGCAAAAAGTGATGTCTTGTAAACATGGTAAGTCTGGTCTCAGATAATCTGGACATGACAATTTATTAAAGTGACATAATTAACAATTATTAAAGACAATTTCTTGATGTTACTGTACAATAGTGTATATCTCTATTCAACTGTGTGATCACTGATGCTTACCGAGGCACCTCATTGTAAACAGAGCAACTGTCCAGCCTTGCTCCTATCATGTGACTGATCATGTGACCCTCATCCATCATGCAACATATTTCAAGCAAGTCTTCATCTTAAAGAAATATAAGAAAAAGATATAGTGAACATTTTTCAGATAGTAACCATGGTAACAGTAGAACCAAATCTGAAACATGACACAGAAAGCAACCCTAAGAAAGTTTTTTAACCAAGAGAATCCTATCATGCCTATAGCTGGCAATCTATGATGCAACCAACATTTCCTGATGACCATAACAATGGCTTTGGCCTCTAGCACATATGAGCTGATCCCCACAACAAACAGTTAAAACCACACAAATATCAAATTTCAATCAAATTTCTTCAATTTGAAGAAAAACATGTCTTGAACAAAGGTTATATTGGTAATCAGATTCAAAACTCTTGAATAAATTAAAACATCATCATTGATAGCGATGATTATCAATCTCATTAAAATCTGATTTTAATGAGATTGGATGATTATGGATGCAGCACTTTCAGATGGACTAACATCTCGTCTCTGAAAATGAACATACTTTACAGAAAAAACAATTGTTAAATCATAGTTATAAAATATAATAAAAAGGAGCCCAGAGACTTTCTTCATTTTCAAACACTGCAGTAATCTAGACTTGCCAAACATTATGGGCTGTATTGGATATATTTGGACTACACTTCAGATGACAGACACAGTTTTAACACTGTCTATTTTGACTTGGCACACATACATAATTTACAAAATTTCTCTTTGCTATTTGAAAATGTGGCTGATAAATGTTTATAAATGAGTCTTCTTATAGGAATACCATGATGCCATATTTAGACGAGGATCTGAATCTCTTGACCAGGTTATAATTGGCTGAAACATCTGGGACTGGGACTCGGGTCTCGGGTCAGGTGGGTACTGAGTAGGACCTGGGTACCCACAGGACTACACGGACCCGTGGTTAGCCATGTGATTATATTATTATTTAATGGCAAAAATTATCTAGAACTCTATCGTTACACTTTAAGTGACAAATGTTCACATTTCTTTCTGACTATGCACACATTCCTTCTGACTTTATATGTTTGCATAAAGATAAAACTTTAGTCAACTTCAGTTTAGGCATGACCAGATCATTTTATACCTGTATCTAAATACATTTTGACAGGAGTACGGTCAAACGTTTCCCAATCAGACATTTTGTACCTATCAGCTATCTCCTAAGACCTACAGCGGGTAGCCGGGTAGGGTCGGGTAATAGGGGTGTGTGTACCCGGGTAGTAAATTTGGACTCATGCCAGCCCTAGTAACATCATCTTTGCAGCTTATTTGGTTCAGCCAGAGGCCATATGGTCTGGGCCAACAGATTCAAGAGTGTCAGGGCAGAAGAAATAGGTCAACAGATGACGGAGAAACACGTTGTGTCATAAGATCATATTTGGTTATAGAGACCAAAAAAATGTTTTCAACGAATCCTTTGTTTAGTCCAGACATACACATGCACACACTGTAACTGGAAGCAGCTGGTGCCAGCGGTAGGGTCTTTGAACCGTGGAATCAACTCGCAGACTTACCTTGTTATGTATGGAAATTAAGCTTATTTAGATGCATAAATGCAAAAAGCAAACATCTAAATATGAAGAATGACAGAATCACTAGTTTCTCAAAACCTTGTATTCCATGCAGCTTGGGGGATTAAATAACATCTGAAGAGATAAACATCTTTTAGACATGAAAGCTATTGTTGAAGGGAAGTAACTCATAACACAATGTACTTGCCGACCACACTCAAATATCAAAACACATACCTAATATCCTTGAAATTTGAGTGAGTGGATGCAGGCTTAGGAAGAGCATCATTCTTATCCTCCGGATATATAAAAGTAGCTCATTGTTTAGTCTCAAAATATCACCCCATTAATACTGACACATAATTTGAGCTCGTTGTTTGTTCTCAAAATACCCTGCTGTATAACGGGGCGTGGCGATTACGTCACCGGGGTTACGTTTTATTGTGGATCACCGGTAAGCAGACCCTATAACTCGTGCTCGTACCCAACAGAGACATCTCCAGGAATGGCGACCGATCCTGTGTGTATCGAAGACTTTAAGCAAATAGCCGAGGCAAAACTGTCAAAGTATGTCCGTGAATATTACAACAGTGGGGCGAATTATGAAGACACCTACAGAGATAACACTGATGCTTTCGGGAGGTGATGCAATGGTCTTCTTCATGTAGATCTAGGCCTACTTTGTATACCATGAATTATTAAATATCGATTGGAAATGATCGTTCGTTACATTCCTAATTTGATGTAAACGTAGACTATATTGCCTGAGTAAATATCACAGAACACAATGCACACGGAGCATAGTTGACCTGCCGTCTTCGTGCAGATATCCCCCTGGCGGTGTCCTGGGAAATTTGCCCCTCCCCGTGGTAATATGATCCGCCCGTGGTAATATGATCCGAACCAGATCCAGGCGTTATTGAACGGACGTTTGTTTCCTAATACATGTATAAGGCACACCGCGCACAGGAAACATTCACAACAATCTGACATAGCTGAACTAGTGTAAGTTAATTTGCAATATGAATGTTTCAATACATGCTTCTTGAATCACGGTCTTTGGCTCTTAAGTGGCAGTTAAGAAACAAGAAGTGTCAATGAGTTGACTTATTATATGGACCCAACTTCATTACTTTTCCCATGCCACAGATGCTAGTACCTTTATCATGCAATTTACGCGTGACAATTATAGTAAGGTTTATGTTGTGGTGACGCATTTAAAGTGTCAGATACTAGAATTGACTGTCACATATATAACTGCTAATATGCCACAAAACACACGCTGTTTCAATTTAAATAGGGCTGGGTTTTTTCAGGTATTGACGCGGCTTATTGTAAAAACAAAATATTCACTGCTGGATTCTCAATAAACATGTTGTTGCAGTATTATTCTTCTGTTGTCATTACTTGACCTACTCACGTTAATCTCTCTTATGTCTGCAATTGTTGTTACTCTTATTCCTCCACCTACCATTTATTATCTGTAACATGTTCAGAATTTAACCTTGCTTGACAATGGTATATCGATCTATACCGAAATGTCGCCTATAACAGTAAATATAGAAATTATCCATAATTTTTGTCTACATTGTCATCCGTCAACATGTAAGTAATGCCTATTCAACAATGGATTCTCAATGTTGTACACTATTATCTGTCACTCGATATCAATACACGAATTCCAAATATTCAAAGCGTATTTAAAGCTTTCCCACCACTATATTTTATCATTTTTGTCGCATTGCAACTTCAGTGTCACTGATACGGTTTACAGGTACAAGATTCGACCGAAGTATATGCGGGATGTGTCCAATCGATCAATGGCGACCACCATTCTGGGGCAGAGAGTAGACTGTCCTATCGGGGTGTCCTCCGTTGCCATGTGTCGTCTGGCCCACCCCGAGGGAGAGGTGGCTGTAGCTCGCGGTACGTACACTCACATCCGCAACACGTGGAGTAGGTTGAACTATTGTTAGGTGATGTTTTATACTACTGTCTGGTAATATTTTGTACTATTGTCTGGTAATGGTTTGTACTATTGTTTGGTAATGTTTTGTACTATTGTCTGGTAATGGTTTGTACTATTGTCTGGTTATGTTTTGTACTATTGTCTGGTAATGTTAGTGCAAGAGGTTCAGGTTACAGAATGCTCAGTCAGTAAAGTGAAACCACGCTTTGAATTAAGAAGAAAGTATTGTGTGGACGTGTATATATCCATATTTTCTGTAATTACGTCACTGCATGTTGTTATTTGAATAAATGTAGGATATTTGTCCTTTCTTGTCAATCGGGATACGATGCCATCCACCAGCCAAGTCAGCGAGCTTGATCACCTGATCCCTTTAGGTTTGGAGATGAGTTAAACATATTTGACTTGATGTACTGTCCATAGTTATATGATGCTTGTGTTCCCTTACACTGTGAGTGAACACTGTTGTACATCACAGCCAGTAGTGTTCCAGCTATATATAACGACCACAATTTTATGACCGAGTTTTGGCCAAGTATGGGTCAATGATTGATGGCATATGAGCAACGAGATCCACACCGTCGGGCCACATGATGACAGATCACAGACAGACATGTTTATTCAGTATTAAGGCCTAATGGCCCAGGGTACAAATTCAGTGCAATAATTCAGCTTCAAGGTGAGAGGGACACAGGTGGTCCAGTCGTCTAAGGCGTCGCAATTTGCTGTACAAAGTTGCGTCATGAAACCTATGGAACTTCTGAGACCTGCATCGCTTCGGGCTTTCCTCCTACATTAAGCTGACACGCAATGATATAACTGGAATACTGTTAAAAGCGGCGTTAAACAATTTTCACTCACTCCAGATATGAACAGCACACACGTGTATTTATGAAGCATACATAAAAGTTCTTAAAGGGACATGCTGAACATTTGTTTTAAATGTATTGCCACAGCTGTAGTTTTACTTCGCTGCTTAGACCGTAAAATATTTACAAGGTCTTCCTTACGTTTATACGTTGTGTATAGTAACCACCCGATATTCATTTTAATCGTCCCTTTAATTTTTTTTGTCTCTTCCTGTCCATTATGCTATTAATCTTTGCTCCAGGTAACACGAACTTCCTTAATAACAGTCATTACCAGATGGTCTTTAACAACATTAAATGCCGATAAGTCGAAGCAGTCCATATACCACAGCAAGTACTCATTGGTTCCACCACAGTGGTAAACGTCTAAGACCTGCATCACTTTGGACTGTCCTCCCACATCAAGCTGACACGTCTTTGATATTACTGAAATATTTTTCAGAAGCCTCGTTAAACCCAGAGAGCAGAAATCGGTATATGGTCTCTGTTAAACCCTACTCTCTCATACTAATGTCCGAATATTAGCTCTTCATCATGTCTGCAGCTTGTGCCCGACTTGGCCGATGTTTCACACTGTCCACATCTGCCACCACGGGTCTGGAGGAGATTGGGGAGAAGGTGCCAGATTGTCTGCGATGGTTCCAGATCCACATCCTCTCAGACCGAAATATGCTGACTCGGCTCGTACGGAAAGCAGAAGATGCTGGCTTCTCGGCCCTGGCGCTAACTGTTGACTCCCACGTGCACGGACGCCGCCATGCAGAGATGAGGAACCACTTCACATTGCCAGCTCCTTACAAGTTAGTAGCCGCAGTAAACTGTTCATTTTGTTGTTTAACACCGCACACAACGACATTCCGGCTACATGATGGCGGTTTGTGAATAATCGAGTCTGAACTAGAAAACCCAGCACCGATCTACGCGGGATATGATGACATGCATCAACCAAGGACAACATGAAACGTGTGTGCAGCCGAAATTGACATGAGGCATTTTAAAAGAGTCGTGACGCTCATGTTCTTTTCAGCCTCAAGGAATACACATTTATTTTCAGGCTAGGTGTGCTAGAGGGATTGAAGTCACGTGACGGGATGTCTAATGAGGAGAGGGAGGGAGGATGGAGCAAGTTCGTCAACAAACTCTTTTCCTCCTCCGCAACATGGGACGACCTGCGATGGCTTAAGACCATCACCAAACTCCCGGTGATAGCGAAGGGCATTGTAACAGGTACCTTCAAACATACATGTCGGCGGATATAGAGGTACGTGTGACTGAATAAAACAAATTGCCAATAGAGATTACTCTAGCCAGTGTGTAACCTATCCGCTTGGTTATTAAGGAATAGCCTCCGTGGTCTAGTGGTAGAGCGTCCGCCCGGAGCTGAAGGTCCGGGGTTCGATCCCCGGCCGCGTCATACCAAAAGACGTTAAAAGATGGTTCTTGTTGTTACCCTGTCTGTCGCTCGGCATTAAGGGGCTAAAACAAGGACTGGTCGGCTCGGAGTCAGTATACTGTGTCTGAGTGGGATATTCATGTTAAACTGCGGCAAGGTATCTCAGTGAGCTAGCACTATAAATCGGCATCAGTCCTGACTAGTACAAGCAGCCACACAAACACACACACGTACATGCAATAATCTTTGACGCGACGTTAACCCCCATTTCACCTCACCTTATTGAGGAATTCTGATGACGAAAAGCCTTAGATTTCGGACAGTCGTTTCTGAATTAGCTTCTGAAGTTCCTGTGACATAAGATGGAATGCAAAGTTATTTTTTTAACAAAATCTGAAACAATTTCGGTTTGCAACAGATAAAAGACTCATGTAAGTGTTCAAATGGTTTAATTTGCCATACTGACTTCAGAAAATGCATGATTTAAAAAAGAAAACCCATGAACATACCAAAATGTCAATTTACAAATCAATAGCGTGTGTGTCAACCTCTGGTTGCGATGCAAGCAACACATCTTCGACTTATGGAATGGACCAGGCGTCGCACAAAGTCCTGTGGGATATCTGTCCATATCTGCTGGAGCATGTTTCGAAGTTCCTGGAGTGTCTGTGGAACACGTGGTTGATGTCGAAGGCGCCGATCCATCTCATCCCACATTCACCTCGTCGTCGGTACACTCGAATCCGTCCATCGCTGTGGCTGAGGTGAAAAAGAGACTCGTCAGTGAATAGAACTTGTCCCCACTGCATGGCCGTCCAGCGTAGACGCTGTCTGCACCACTGTAGACATGCTTGGCGGTGCTTTCCTGTCAAAATGGGACGTCTGGCGAGTCTTCTGGCGACAATCCCTGCACATCTGAGGCGACGACGTACGGTTTGTGAAGATCTTCGTCGAAGGCCAGGGATGCTTCTCGCAGTCACTGTTGCTGGCTGGAATCGATTTCGTAGGTGTGTTGTTCGAATCCAGTTGTCTTGTCGATTATTGGTTAATCGATTAACGCGTGGCCTGCCACTCCGAGGATTGTCTCTGACTGCATTTGTCTGTTGCCAACGTTGCCATAAACACCAAATGGTGTTTCTGTGGATGTTAAATTGTCTTGCAACATCACGTTGACTCGATCTTTCTTCAAGCATCCCAATGGCTGCAGACGCTCATTTTCGGACATGCGTGGCATTTCGTAATGTTGAATTATTGCGTAATTTTGCTGTTTTCTGAGTGGTTGTTGTCAGCACGATGCTAAACAATGCATCAGGAATCCCGTTAACGCACATGTTTTTATACTCATTCTTGGGTAGTGAAATGCATGGGGCTTGCATAAAAGTCAACTTTTGCATGGAATGCACGCTTTTCTGTAGCAGTTGCGTTTTTGTGACTTGATTCCATACATATACTACAATATTGAAAACCAAACTTTACTTGTTTGAAAAATACACTTAAATATTGGTGTCACAGGAACTTTTGTTGTTGAGCATACATGTTCCTGTGTTGCCAGGTGAGGGGGCCCGGGAAGCTGTCGAGGCCGGTGCCGATGCTGTGTGGGTGTCGAACCACGGGGGTCGGGAGCTGGACTGTGTACCCGCCACGGTGAGAAAAGGGATGGGGAGTTCTACAAAGTTCGGACGTCAGAGTTGTCAGGAAACGGTAGCAGATTCAAATATTGTCTGATAAGACCGCTATTGGGCTTTGTGACAGCAGGAGGCGCATCTTCCCGAGGCAAGGGAGTTAAGCTATAAAAGTCCTGGACGTTTACAGTCAGTTAACTCCCTTGCCTCGGGAGGATGCAAGAGACGTGACATGCTCCAATGCTGATAGGCTGAGCGATTCCCATTCAATCTTCAGAATTCAAACATAGAACCTATATGAAGGTCGGACGAGGCGACTCAATGGATCGGGTGGTCAGGCTCGGTGATAGGGTGTTCTCGTACCCCAACGGCCTTGATTGTTGCCCATAATATCAAGACTGGTTTGTCTGGTCCAGACTCGCGTATTTACAGGCAGCCGTCATATAGCTGAATATTACCGAGTGTGGCATTAAACAACAAAACAAATGAAACAGAGGAAAGGCTAAGGAGAAGGTTTAATCACGTTGTTCACGACCACAATTCAATACGTACGTGTCAGACAACATACACCAGACAGTCAAATCCTACCCTTGAAGGTACAGCAACAGCGTCTGAAACTCATCAGAGTAAACTGAGAGACTTAAGGGTCAGCAAATTTGAAAAGAAATTGTAGGCCCAGTGGAAAAAACTGTCGGCCCAAACATTTTATCAGAAGCTGGGAGACATACTCTTGCAATATAAATTACAAAACATAACCAGTCAACCAGAAGCTGTTACTGCTATCACACCGAGTTCCCAGAGACTCGGTGGTGATAGATGAAGCCTACATCTATCAGGAAAATATCAGCTTGTAAATCATCTTTGCGACTACATGTCATACATCATTTGAAAGGTCTAATCCTACTGTTTATAAAAATGAAAATTATGTTTATCACTATACTGAAATAATGCTTAATAATTAAATATTTATATACTGCAGGCCGTAATTTTAAAACCAGCAGCCCGAGAACAAATCTTTCGGCCTTGGGCCTACGGGCCGATGTCTACTATGAAAACTGTACAGCAAACAGATTAACACACGGCACTGTTGATGCTGAAATAATGTATGGCTGTGTTTATCTACCCCACTTTAGATGGACGCCCTGCGGGAGGTGGTGGAGGCCGTGGGGGACAGGTGCGAGGTCTACCTGGACGGAGGAGTCCGGAGTGGGTTGGACGCCCTCAAAGCCATCGCTATGGGGGCACGTGCCGTCTTCGTGGGGCGGCCGATTCTCTGGGGTCTAGCACATACGGTAGGTGACTGCGGAGTGCTTGCTTGAAAATTACTTGACAGTCTTGGCGCAGATATGTAAGTTCATCTCGAAGTTCAGATATATAATAATGACTGTTGATTTTTCGCACACGGTCTTCAGGCTGTATGTTTTGACCGTTTACTTAATTCTCAAAGACAAAGTAAGGGTTGCTTTACAAACCTGTTTTTTAAACCGTTTGGTTGTGGGACAAAATTCAATTAAATTGTCAAAAGGGTGAGTGTTTTAAAATATGATGAAGAAAAACGATGAAATAAGAACAAGATGATGTTGTTGTCCCCCAGGGAGGTGAAGGAGCAGAGAAGGTGCTGCAGATCTTGGGCGATGAACTCAACACGGGCATGGCTCTAGCAGGTCAGTCGATGGTCAGTCTCAGCTGTTTAGTCCAGCTGCAGGACCGTTATTCACATAATATCCATGAAGATATCCCGATTGGACGAACTTATAGTAGAATATGCACATAATAACTTAAATAATAGTAAGTTCGCTTGTGGTAGACCGTGGTTAGAATTGGTCTTTAGCAACTCATGTTGTCGTAAGAGGCGACTAACGGATCGGTGGACAAGCTCGGTGACTTGGTTGATGTATGTCATCATACCCGATTTGCGTGGATCGATTATCTAAAATGATTCGTCGAAACAGACGCCTTAGTCTGCATAACATCGTTTTTTTTTACCGCATCAAGCTGACATATTATAGCCTGCTATAACTGAAATGCTGTTTAAAGCTGCGTTAAAACAATCTCCTTACTCACTCTTTATTTCAGGAGCATCTAAGATAAGCGATATCTCGCGAGACATGGTGGTTCACAAATCCTACTACAGCTCCAAGCTCTGAGAGAAGACTATGGCATACCCCACCCTAGGTGTTGTGTGTGGCAGGGGGGTAGAAGCTGAACACCATCGCCTTCACGAACTACATGTATGTTGGGTGGCCTCACCAATCTGAAGGCACACCGGGTATTCCTGATATACTATTATCTCACTAAAACTGTTGCAAAGTTTGTTTTTTGTCGTTTATGTGAAACAGCTATGAAACCCCTCGAGCGAAAGTCACCACTACTGGTAAACACAGATGCGTTGAGATTGCACATATTCGCATTTTGTTTTAAAAAGTGGGCGTCCTGCATGGTAGCGAAGATCCAATATCTTCACCATTCATGACCAACTCGTGTTATTCCGGAACAAGCCGATTAGCGACTCGTGCCCCTCTCGTGGCCATTTTTGCGACCGGGTTCCGTCTTAGCGCAAACGGGCATACCTCAAACAATTGTCAATTCGTTGCGTAACGGTTCACACATTTTCCCCATATATTATATATATTTCAGATGCAATTTAAAGCACATCGGGACGTGCGGAATTATACAGCATGATTGAACACATTTAACTGTGTCTTTGGTATATTTTTAGATGCAAGACATATATAAAATCAAAAAATATTTCTGAGGGATTCTTTGACGAAGAACTTGAAATCATGCGCGCATTTTGATTGCTTTGTCGTATTTTCGCACATAACATTCATCGATAGGGGGACGAGTCCTCTTGCAGGTTACGGAAAGGGGCGAGTGGTGACGAATGTATCTTCACAGGTCGTTTACCCTTCTCACGCGGGGCACGTGCGCAATATCCACACCTGTCAGTCGCGTGTTACAGATGAAAGCTTTTGTTTGTTTGTTTGTTGTTTAAAGCCACACTCAGCAATATTCCAGTTATATGACGGCGTTCTGTAAAATATTCGAGTCTCAAACTACATCCATTGTTCGTGGCAGGAATGAAGGGAATGAACATCATCCAATACAACTACTGTTTGATTTCATGGAATATACATTGTTTGATAATATATATTCCATGTATGTTAGTCTCAGGATTTGCATTGAGTTTGTATGTGGACTAGTCACATGTGTATTCTATAAGAATACGATGAATGGTTTATAGGCACTGGGAATGCCTAGTCAGAAGCAATGTTGATCCCAACACAGCGAAGCGAGAGCAGCATGGATGTGATTGGTAGGGTAGTAGACACTGTCAAGGTTATTCTGTTGAGAAGATGGTCCACATATTCAGGTCTGTCTGATTGCCTGTGTCATATTTTGAATAATATTCTTTAAATAAGATTAGTTGTTACACACAAGTTTTTGATAAAGTATATGCTAGCATCTGACATTGAACTCTCCTTAAAAATGACCTATGCATGAGGCGTGAACCAAGAATGACAGTAAAGGTATATGACAAATATATCCTATTTATTTTAAAGAGAGATTGACATAAGGACGAGAATCAGAGGATTAAGTCACAATATTGCTTGTCGTAAGAGGCAACTAACGGGATCGGGTGGTCAGGCTCGCTGACTTGGTTGATACATGTCATCGATCCCAACTGCGTGGATCGATGTTCTTGATATTAATCACTGGATTGTCTGGTCCAGACTCTATTATTTACAGACCGCCGTCATATAGCTGGAATATTGCAGAATGCGGCGTTAAACAACAAACCAACCAACCGATCTAAAACTGTACTGTATTCCCGATTCATGCACTAACAAGGACAACTGCGAAGTAACATGTTACATGTAGGCAATGTTTGACTGAATGTCAATGAATCCGCAACATTGAACATATATAATGGTGGTCATGTACTATTATTAATATGTATCATATTATATGTGTATTATAATTATAATATGTATGGATGTAACAGCCTGTGTTTAATTGACTCTGGGCTAAAAAGTTATAAACACAATCTGCTCACAGCTCTTACAGCTGTCCACCCTGTATTATAATCAGTCAACTTGCTTATTACTGTAACAATGAGGGTCACACTGTCAATATTGACAAAACTAATGTTGTAATTTTCAGGAAAAAAATATCAACCATTAGACATACAGTTTCTATATGAATCAGTTTCATTAGAAATAAACCGACTCCGTGGTCCAGTGGTAGAGCGTCCCGGGTTCGATCCAAGGCCGCGTCATACAAAAATACGTTAAAAGATGGTACTTGTTGTTACCCTGTTTGCGCTCGGCATTAAGGGGCTAAAACAAGGACTGGTCGGCTCGGAGTCAGTATACAGTGTCTGAGTGGGGTATTCATCTCAGTGGGCTAGCACTATAAATCGGCATCAGCCCGGACTAGTACAAGCAGCCACACACACGTGCATGTACGTCGCTATATAAGTGCAATAATCTTGGACGCGACGTTAAACCCCATTTCACCTCACCTTATTTGACACGTGTGTTACCAGTATTACATTACGATTGTGAAGTATGGGGATGGAAACATGCTGATTGTGTTGAGAGAGTACATCGTAACATTTGTAAACTGATTCTGGGTGTAAAGGTTGTTTGCTAGGTTTGTTGTTTTACGCCGCATTCAGTAATATTCCAGCTACATGACGGCGGTCTGCAAATAATCGAGTCTGGACAAGACAATCCAGTGATTGATATCATGAGCATCGATCCACGCAGTTCGGATCGATGACATGCTTCAACTAAGTCAGCGAGCCTGACCACCTGATCCCGTTAATCGCCGCTTACGACAAGCATAGACACCTTTTACGGCAAGCATGGGTTGCTGAAGACCTATTCTACCCTGTCAGTCAGTGAGAACCAGCTGATGTCCTTATACAGTCAGTGAGAACCAGCTGATGTCCTTATACCAGTCAGTGAGAACCAGTTGATGTCCTTATACAGTCAGTGAGAACCAGCTGATGTCCTTATACAGTCAGTGAGAACCAGCTGCTGTCCTTATACAGTCAGTGAGAACCAGCTGATGTCCTTATACAGTCAGTGAGAACCAGCTGATGTCCTTATACCAGTCAGTGAGAACCAGCTGATGTCCTTATACCAGTCAGTGAGAACCAGCTGAAGTCCTTATACCTGGTGTTTTTACATGCGGCATTATGATTATTATTGTTTGTTTGAAACCAATGACAAACATATTAGTCCAGTAGAGATGACAATCAAATGACGTGCCGTTTATTTCAGCAAGGACTTGTGAAAACCAGGGTCATCAAACACAGTGCAATGAGCGTCCCCCGGATCTCAACCCAAACAATGTAACCACATTACACATGGTTAAACAATAAAATACACTGTCATATAACAACAGGCAGGATCGATACACCCTGATGGATATCAATAATTGGATGCAACAGAATAGTTTACTTATTGAGTTTTATTCCTAATCCGTAAATTCTTATTATTGAAAAGCAGGATGTTCATATCGTTTTAATATTCAACAGATTGGGATGCTTCCACAATTTGACCATGTATTCTATTTAGGCAGATACTTTTATTGTGTCCATAATTTCTCTTTGGCCGTATCTTTTTTTGCATTTGTGGATGGATATTCTGATAAAGTGAAGAGCATCTATATGGATGTAGAACAGCATTTTCGTCGTAAATATACATAATAAGATTCTTACATACTTATGTACTTATACTGTATGTCTTCCAGGGTAGCGAAGGAGTTGAGAATGTGCTGAAGATCTTGGAGGCTGAGTTTCGAACAGGGTTGGCTCTCTTGGGTTAGTGTCCGTTACTCATGGGAACATTTGGGATTGGGTTTCTACTACTTTGGTTTGGTCCAATTTTAGAGAGCATATGACGTTGAAATGCTTGAAATGAAAGATTTTTCTACAGCTTTAAGCAATATTCTAGCAACACCAGAAATGAAACATTAAGATAGAAGTAAGTAATTTCTTTTTTATTCCAAAGCTTTATTTCTTTGTATACTAACGGCAAAAAGTAACTGTGGTTCATTTAAAGTTCAATAAAGAATAAGTATTAATTAAATCTATGTATAAATTAAATAAAGCATCTTTCAGTACATATTCATGAAGACATCTCCTTGACTTGAAGGTCGTGATTCACATTTTGCACGTGCATGTTGATACACGAAGCACAATTGAAATGTTTGCGTGTTTGATGGTAGCATGATGATCACACACGTGTTTTTTTAATGTGAACAACACACAATTATTGTTTAATTATCAGGTTCTCATAAAAATACACTATTGTTTAACCATCATGAACCACGGCTAATCGACCTCTCTGTGCTGTGAATGCTGCAAACAGGAATAGCGCAAAACGACATTTTAATGTTCATCAAACACAATATTATCTCTTTGGAGACGTAATCTAGAGCAGGGCATCACTCCTGACATGCCACGGACCTTTAGTCCACGTGTGACGTCACGGAATGGAAACCAAACTGCCACATTAACAGCTCGGACAATTCCTGGTTTGAGATCAATTTGTGGCAGAACCGTACGCAACCGTTTGAGGGTGCTCAACATCCGGCTCCGACCGATGCCAAGCAATACGCCAAACTTTGCTTCCACGTGACCGTTAGGCACGCCTAGCCTGGTTTAGACAGTTTCTGAGGTTCAGACAACAAGACCGGGACAGTATACTGTTTAGAAACGAGTTAAGGTTTAATCTGGACAGATCGGATGGCCGTGCAAGGGTCTACAGTCGTCTTGGAGACGATTGGGTTACTCAACGTCGTCAGTTTGGGGTGGAAGTGTAATGGTATGGGGTTGCATCACCAACTCATTGGAGAAACACATTATTTTTCATGGCAATTTGAATGGCGTACGCTACTTGGACGACTTCGAGATCATATTCTACCATTTGTACAAAAGCATGGACGTAACGTCACCTTGCAGCAGAATAATGAGCTGTTTCATCACCCAGGTATGGAATTTGTCAATGAATGTGTTGTGATAACACATTGATGAAACGAATGAACAAATATTGTGTTGTTATTTTCAATAACAGAATATTTACACCACTTTATATGAAGCACAGGTACGTTTTTCCGTAAGTATATAGAAATTTTGGTTGGAATTTGTTTTCATCCTGGGGTAGTACTGAAGCTGTCAGTGATAATTGAAGCCGAAAAATAACAATCCTTCTGAAGTGATCGAAAGAATTGAAATATATATTTGTTTCAGGTGCAGCTCGGATAAGCGAGATCTCGCGAGACATGGTGGTTCACCAATC